AGACTAGCAGCGCGAACAGTAGGGTAAGGGTAGTGCAGTGATAGAGGCGCTGCTCTTACTGGACAGGGCGGCTCGGGCGGCTCGCTGGCTCGGCGGCTCAGCACGAAATGCAGCTCGGCGACTCGGCGGCTCTGGCGGCTCGGGCGACTCGGCGGTACGGCGGCTCGGCAGCAACGTCGGCTCGGCAACTCGTCGGCTCTGGCGGCTCGGCGGTACGGCGGCTCGGCAGCTCGGCGACCCGGCGGCTCGGGCGGTTCAGGTGGCGCGGCGGCTCGGGCGGCTCAGGTGGCTCGGGCGGCTCGGCAGTAGCTCGGCGGCGCCGGCGGCTCGGTGGTGATGGCGGGGCCGCATGGGGACGGCGGCGGGGCCGGTAGAGGTGGCGACGGGGCCGGGAAGGGTAGCGCCAGGGCCGCAGGGTAGGTGACGGGGCCGCAGGGTAGGCGACGGGGCCAGCAGAGGCGGCGCCGGGGCCGCAGGGTAGGCGACGGGGCCAGCAGAGGCGGCGCCGAGGCCGCAGGGTAGGCGACGGGGCCACGAGAGGCGGCGCCGGGGCCCCGCAGGGTAGCGCCGGGGCCGCAGGGTAGGCGACGGGGCCAGCAGGGTAGGCGACGGGGCCAACAGAGGCGGCGCCGGGGCCAGGAAGGGCGGCGCCGGGGCCGGGAAGGGCGGCGCCGGGGCCGTAGGGGTAGGCGACGGGGCCGCTAGGGCGGCTAGGAGGGGGGTCGCGAGGGCGGCTTGAAGAGGCCGCGAAGGCGGCACGAAAGGGCCGCGATGGCAGCGCGAACGGGTCGCGAGGGTGGCGCGACGCGACGGAGTGGCGAGGGCGGCGGATCGGGGCCGCGAGGGCGGCGCGACGCGGCTGCTAGGGCGGCGCGACGTGACGGGGCCGCGAGGGCGACGCGACGGGGCCGCAAGCGCGACGCGACGGGGCCGCAAGCGCGACGCGACGGGGCCGCTAAGGCGGCACGACAGGGTCGAAAGAGGGGAGCGCAACTCAGGCAGAGTAGAGCGCGCTTCGGGCAGGAAAAAAAAAGGTGGTGGGCCCTAGGAACAGTTCCCACAGGGGAACCTGCTCGATACCATGAGAAAATGAACGAGAATGAATTGACTAAGGGAAAGTTGGGTACAAGTACAAACCCTAGAAAGTGGTACCCCATATGTGCTACCCCACTATAGCCTACAACAGCTATGTCATATAAATCTGACAGACTCGCTAGCACCTAAGGCAGCAGCCTCACTTGCACCTAGAGCAGCAACCTCTATACCGGGGTCGTACTGCACACACAGGTAACAGTCACCCTCAGCACCACCAGGCAAAGCATACATAGCAGTAAGGATGGCGTCATAGTCTAAAGCAAAGACATCAACGCCCGATCTAAGCAGCTCAAGCCAGTGGGGGATCTCAGCCTCGTCGCCAAACTCTTCGTGCCAGGCGTCACTCAAACAGGCGAAGCAGCGGGACTGTGTGTGACCAGGTGTCCCACAGGTCTCACCAGCTCGACGACCTGTGCGAATGACGTACGGGCAGCGACCAGGACTCGGAGACGTCCCACGCTGGTAAAACCACTCACAAAGCTGCTAGGACGTAAGGGTCGGACGCCGCCATAGCTGCATCTGGCCACCGCCAGAACCTCCGCACCTAACAGCGCCACAGTGACTGCTACTACGGCCGCCACCACTCCCACTGCTGCCACCACCGCTGTCACCACTCCCACCGCTACTACAGAATGAAGTCATGGTGGGCAAGCTAGGAGGAGCACGACCTCTAGGGCAGTATGGAGTGAAGGCAGTAGCACGAGGAGTAGCAGCAGCAGTAAGAGCAGCAGAGCGGCTCGGTGAAGCTAGGTTGCATCACCTCCAGCACTCCTAGCAGCACCTCCACCAGCAGCAGCAGTAGCACGAGTAGCAGGGCGGATCGGGTCGGGTAGGGCGGCTCGGCTCGACCTGGGCGGCGCGGGCAGCAGGGCACGCGCTGTGCAGGGCAGCAGGGCGCGACGCGCAGGGCAGCAGAGCGCGACGCGCGGGCTGCGGCAGAGCGCGACGCGCAGGGCAGCAGCGCGCGACTTGCGGGCTGCCGTAGGGCGTGACGCGCGGGGCAGAAGGGTGCGACGCGCGGGCTGTGTAGGGCGCGACGCGCAGGGCACCAGCGCGGGCGTAGGGCAGGGCGCAGGCGCAGGGCAAGGCGCTGGCGCAGGGCAGGGCGCCGGCGCAGGGCAGGGCACGGCGCAGGGCAGGGCGCTGGCGCAGGCCAGGGCGCCAGCGCAGGCTAGGGCATTGGCGCAAGGCAGGGCGCTGGCGCAGGGCAGGGCGCTGGCGCAGGGCAGGGCGTCGGCGCAGGACAGGGCGCCGGCGCAGGGCAGGGCGCTGGCGCAGGGCAGGGCGCTGGCGCAGGGCAGGGCGCTGGCGCAGGGTGGCGCGAGGCAGGGCAGGGCAGGGCAGGGCGTGTGCTAGGCTGCGCGACGCGGGGCAAGGCAGGGTGTGCGCGGGGCAGCGCGACGCAGGGTAGTGGGGTAACGCGGTAACCGCGGTCGGTCGCTAAGTATGGTGGGCCCAAAGAAAAAAAAAAAAAAAAAAAAAAAAAAAAACGGTCCTACGGACCTACTACTCTGAAACCATGTCAAGATAGCAAGCAGGGAATGGATTGCATTGAATGAGTTGTGGGTACAAGTACTAACCCTAATGTTGGGTTGTACCCCACATGGGCTACCCCACTATAGCCTACACACAACTAGCACAAATATGGACTGCCCCGTCGTCCAGCACCCCCTGCTGACCCGTCGCGCAGCGTGCCCCTCTGCCTCATTCGTGCGAGCAGCAGCAGCGCCGCCGCCACCACTGCTGCCTAGGCCGCCGCCACCACCAGTGCTGCCTAGGCCACTGTAGCCACTGCTACCTAGGCCACCGTCACAGCTACTGCCTAGGCCACCAACACCACTGCTACCTAGGCCACCGTCACAGCTACTGCCTAGGCCACCAACACCACTGCTACCTAGGCCACCGTCACAGCTACTGCCTAGGCCGCCAACACCACTGCTACCTAGGCCGCCACCGCCGCTGCTGCCTAGGCCGCCGCTACCGCTGCCTGTGCCGCTGCCACTCCTGCCTAGGACGCCGCCGCCGCCGCTCCCTAGGCTACCGTCTCTGCTGTCGCCCGTGCCGCCGCCACTGCTCACAGTGCCACTGCCCACGCCGCCGCTCTCTCCTTGTTCCTACTGTCCGAGCCGCCGCTCTCCCCACAGACCTACTCCCTCGTGTCAGCTCGAGCCGCCGTTCCTAGGCGATCCTACTGCTGTTTTGTCCTAGTCTCCTGGATTCTCGTCTCGACAGTCCTCTCGCCTGTAGCCGCTCCCTATGGCTTCTCCTACGCCATCTGCGTTTGTGCTGCGCTTCGATGTGGGGGGTCGGGGGCTTGACTTCGATGTGTGGCTGAGTGATGTGCAGCTGAATCTGTAGAGCCAGCGCTGTGATAACGTGTACCTGTACGCCCATTTGTCCGGTGTACTGCTGCGATGTAGGAGTGAGTAGAATAGACACGTGGCATGATAGCATAATACAACGTGCCGTTGTTGACTAACTCGCTACTACCGTACATACAAGCGTACGTATTGCCTTCACTACAAGACCATTGCATTCACCACACGAGATTTGCCCTCACCATCACCACAATAGCGCCGCTGTCAGAAAGGAAGGTCCCTCCCCTTTATCACACAGGAGTCTAGTCTGCGTGTGCCGAACAGACCAAGATTCGTTTGTGGCCTTCACTACAAGAACATTGTCTACGCTCCCCCCACCACGATTGTATCACCCTTCAGTACAGCAATGCTCTTATTACGTCATAGTCCACGTGCGGCTGTTATTGAGTCTTGACCCTCGGTACAGGAACACTGCATTTATTAAACGGGAATCCACATGCCGTAGTTCCTGACCCGGAATGGGAGCAGCACAGTATCGACCGCGTGGACAACAATCGATGGGCTCGAATACATGTTGCCGATCAGAACGCGCGCGCCATCTGTGTCATTGGTTCTGAAAAGCCTCAGCCAATAGTCCGTTTGATTCTTCTTCAGTGGTAGCTTATTGAGAGTTTCCATCTGTGAACAATGTTACAGGGTAGAGGGATCAAAGCGGAGAAAAGTGTATGGAGGATGTGATTGGGGACGAGGAGAAGTGGAGATTCAGGTGGGAGAAGGAGGGCGTATCAGAAGATTATGTAGGAAAAAAGAAGGAAAAAATGTTCGACTTACCGAGAATCCATTCCCAAGGGCCTTGATGTCGTTGAGTTCCATCCGACGTGGCAGCACGTGATAGGCTATCACCTGCCATAGAACATTCTTCTTCCTCTGCAGCCCTCCAAAGCGCGTATAATTGGGCATGCGGAAATATGCCCAATTGGTTGGCGCAAAGATCGTAATGTTCTTGGTGAGGAGTGTATTCATCTGTGTCTCATTCATACCTGGGGATACACAGAACAGAACGTGGATGCTTAAGATGACGTCATTTGCACAAACAAACAAAAAAATGAATCTGAAGTATAGTACCACATGGGTTCAGCAAATGAGAAGCAGTACCCGACATGAGCAATAGAAGTGCAATGCGATATTTATACACCCAAAAAAATGATAGAAGTTGTAGCTCACTGCTCATTCTGATTCCCGTCGCAATTCCTGTGAATTTCCACTCGTACAGAAACGCCAGAACCTCGTTCACTTTCGCCAGCGTTGCCTGCTGCTCCGCTGTCAAATTGGACCCCGATGCTCCTCCTGACGCTCCACCTGATGCACCACCTGACTTTCTACCTAGCCATCCCCCTGACCCTCTGCCTGACCCTCCACCTGACCATCCAGCTGACCCGCCACCTGACGCTTCGCCTGGCGCCCCGCCTCCGGAGTCTGCTGCACCACCTGAAGCTCCACCTGGAGCTCCACCCAAAGTTCCACCTGACACTCCACCTAAAGCTCCGCCTGAAGCTCCACCTGATTCTCCACCTAACGCTCCGCCTGATGCTCCACCTACTCCGCCTGAAGCTCCACCTGACTCTTCGCCTCCGGAGCCCGGTGCACCGCCTTCATTCTTACTCCCCCCCCCCCCTCCACTCGCTTGCCCTCCACTCGCTTGCCCTCCACTCGCTTGCCCTCCACTCGCTTGCCCTCCACTCACTTGCCCTCCACTCGCTTGCCCTCCACTCGCTTTCCCTCCACTCACTTGCCCTCCACTTACTTGCCCTCCGCTCGCTTGCCCTCCACTGCCGTCGGTCAGGCTTCCCCCAACCCCACTTCCCGCGTGCCCTCCAGTGCCTCCTCCACCCTCCGTCTCACTTCCCCTTCCACCCATCCAGTCACTCCCCTACCCACTTCCTGTATCACTCTTTCCTCCGCTTCCCGTGTCACTCCCCCCTGTGCTTCCCGTGTCACTCCCCCATCTGCTTCCCAGGTCACTCTTCAGTCCGCTTCCCGTGTCACTTTCCCCTCTGCTTCCCGTGTCACTTCCCCCTCCGCTTCCCGTGTCACTTCCCCCTTTGGCTCCCGTGTCACTCTTTCCTCCACTTTCTGTGTCGCCCCCCCATCCACTTCCCGGGTCACTCTTCAGTCCATTTCCCATGTCAATCCCCCCTCCGCTCCCCGTGTCACTCCCCCTTCCACTTCCCATGTCACTCCCCCCTCCGCTCTTCATGTCACTCCCCCCACTGCTCCCCTCTCCGCTTTCCCCTCCATTCCCCCCTCCGCTCGCCCCTCCGCTCGCCCCTCCGCTTGCCCCTCCGCTCGCCCCTCCGCTCGCCCCTTCGCCTCCCATCCCCATCCCCCCACCACTCCCCACTCCGCTCCCTGCTCCGCCTCCCATCCCAATCCCCCCCCCGCTCCCTGCTCCACTTCTTCCTGCAATACCCGCTCCGCTACCCCCTCCGCGGATCACATCCCTGCCATCCCCTGTCGACCTCCCCGATTTTGAACCAGCGTCCATTCCCGAACCTGTTCCCGAGCCTTCACCCATACCTGTTCCTTTCCCCAAGCCTAATCCTGAGCCCCTTGAGCTTCCCGCCCCCTTCCCATTCCCCTTGCCTGTACTGCTTCCCTTTCCCATTCCCGTACCAGCTCCCGCACCTGTCTGCGTACCGTTCCCTGTGCCTGTGCTCGTACTCACTCCCATACCAGTCCCCTTACCTTTCCCCACTCTAGACCTGGTACCTGCTCCAGCACCTGTTCCCGTACCTTTCCCCGTGCCTGTTCCCATACCTGTTCCCGCGCCTATCCCCGTACCTTTCCCGGTGCCTTTCCCCATACCTGTTCCCATGCCTGTCCCAGTACCCTTCCCCGTGCCAGTTCCCGTACCTTTTGTCACGCCCGTCCCCGTACCTTTCCCTGTGCCAGTCCCCGTACCTTTCCCCGTGCCTGTCCCTGTACCTGCTCTACTGCGCGACCCCGTACCCTTCCCCATGCCAGTCCCTACACCTTTCCCCGCGCCCTTCCCCGTACCTTTCCCTGTCCCGATTTCTGGCACGATCTTCCGCTCTCAGGTTCCTGTTCCTTTATCTCCGCCGGTCCCTGCACCAGTCCCCGCACCCTTCCCCGCACCCTCGCCTGCGCCGACACCCGTCCCTGCACCCTTCCCTACACCGACACCCGTCCCGCGCCCTTGCCCGCGCCGCCACCCGTCCCCGCACCCTTACCTGCGCCGACACCTGTCAACGCACCCTTCCCTGCGCCCACCCCCGTCCCCGCACCCTTCCCTGCGCCGACACCCGTCCTCGCGCCTTTCCCCGCGCCGCCAACCGTCCCGCACCCTTGCCTGCGCCTACACCCGTCCTCGCACCCTTCCCTGCGCCGACACCCATCCCCGCGCCCTTCCCCACGCCACCACCCATCCCCGCATCCTTACCTGCGCCAACACCCGTCCCCGCACCCTTGCCTGCGCCGACACCCGTCCCCGCACCTTTGCCTGCACCGACACCCGACCCCGCACCCTCCCCTGCGCCCACGCCCGTCCTCGCAACCTTCCCTGCGCCAACACCCATCCCCACACCCTTCCCCGCGCCACCACCTGTAACGCATCGCCCTCCTACCCTACGAGCGTTTCCTAGCTAAAGCACTACCTAAGCAAGGTATCGACTTACGGGAAGAAGAGGATGGAGGAGATGAGTGGTGATTGGTCCACAATTGTGGACAACCACCCACTAAAAGACAAGCATGGTTGGAATCCAACCCAACCCCACATTGGTTGGAATTCCAACCAATGACAATTAAACATTGTTGTTACAAGTTACAACATGTAACATAACCATTCTAATCACAATTCTATTGCTCTCATTGGTTGCTAATCCAACCATTGTGCCACCTAAGCAAGCTCACCCCAAGGAGCTCCTTGCCCTTGTTGCCATGGGGGAAGTGGAGCTCCCCAAGGAGGTCTAGGGGGGGGATTGAGCTCACCAAGCTCATTCTCAACTCCCAACTTCCAATTAACCAAATGGAAATGGGATTTTATTTTTAAGTCCAAGACTTTTCCCTCACAAGTGCTCCAAGCATTTACTATCTTCTTGGTGAGGCTACATTTTCTCTTCCAAGGTTTCACCTACCAAGCCTCCAAGACTTGAGGCTACTATTAGGACTAGTCCCTGTTATGTGTGTGTGTTCTTGGCGTTTTATAAGCCTACTATTGATCCTTTTGTGGGCATTCATTTATAAGCCCGGGTCTTTGTTGTGAGTTTAAGGGCGTTTTCATATAAGCCCGTGTTACATTTGGTATTCAGAGCTTTGGTTATCCTTGGCCCTGTGTGGCTAACTAGATTTTTTTTTTTTTTAGGAGTTTCTAGATCTTAGATCTAGAATAGTCTCAAGCTCTTTCTTTAAGAAGAGTTGAGAAACTCCCAAGATCAAGAAGTCTTCTTCAAGGATTTCCAATCTATAAAAGCTCTTTGAGCTTTAAGAGAATTTATTTCTCTGCCCACCTTTCTTGGTGGAAGACTCATCGCTATTTTTATAATAGCAGAGTGTTACAGATCTAAGAGATTTGTTAAAAGATTCCTCTAAATTTGCTCTTTGAGCAATTTGGGGACCCCGCACCCTCCCCCGCGCCCACGCCCGTCCTCGCAACCTTCCCTGCGTCAACACCCATCCCCACACCCTTCCCCGCGCCGCCACCTGTCCCCGCACCCTTGCCGGCCCCCGTTCCTGCGCCCGTTGACTTTCCAGTTCCGGAAGATTTTCCCGCGTCGCCCGATGTCATCTTCGCCATAAGATTGATCGTGCGATCAGAATCTTCAGTAGCAGGCGCTGATTTTTCGGATAGTGGAGAAGTATCACGACCTGGTTCCGTTGCTATAACGAGGTCGGTGCTCACGCCGAAGGATGTGCTTTTATCGAGGAATTGACCCGTCGCCATGACGCTGGTCCGCTTCGAGTCGCTTGCTGTTCTGGCAGCTGCGGTCGCGGTGGTGGCGGGAATCAACGGCGACGCGACTAGGGTGAGGAGGAGCAGGAGGAGCGCGAGCCGCAGGGATGACGGGTTCAGGCTGAGCGGAGATGAGCCGAGCGACTCGAAGGTTATGGGACGATGAATGACGTGGAACGAACGTGGCGTGCGCCGCGGAAGCTTCGACGCCATGATGATGATGGGTACGACTGTCATCGAGTTGATGACGCGCTGCGTCGTAGTTCGCTGGTGACGGAAGCAGCGTGGTTGCGGAAGGTTACTGGATCGACCTACACTGTCGAGAAATAGATTTGTCTAGGCAAGATGAGTAGGCAAAGGAAGTGATGGAAAATAACCTTGAAGACATTCCAGCAACTCGAGTCGACTTCTATTTACATCCTTCGTGCGGCTCATGAGTATGCCGAACCACCGACGTTGATAAGTGATAAGGGGATCGAGCTGCCGATTCATGGAGTCTACTAGCGACTCGTATTTTTTAAGAAAAGGCATCTACAAACATCAGGAAGCGAGTGTGCCGCCTCAGGTCGCAACAATGCTCTGTTGGCAAATCGCATCGATATCTAAAACGTCGACGGGTTACATTGTAAGGCGGCCAGGTGGGCACACTGTATTCTGCCAGCATTTCGCGCTGCAGAAGCATCGCGCCGACAATATACGGTAGATGTCGACTCGGAGCAGAGCAGAGCAGAGCCCCGTAGTGAAGTAACGAAGGACGGCAGGGAGAAAGGATGAGCTGGATGGGCAACAAGGGGAGGAAAGGGGGCGTTGGGAGGAATCAGGATTCACAATCCACCAAATTCCAGAATTCCAATCTCAATAAAATTTCCCGGACCGCGGGCGACTTGCCTCACTTCACTGGTGTACTGTGGAGTGGGCTCTGATCTGGCTGGCTGCATTTTCTGGGAAGTGTGGCCGACCTGTGGATATCATGCGACACGGGATTCTACCCGTATGAAAGGACATCCGAAACGCCAGAGACTTTTTGGACTTGGCACTTCGGCTTCAGCTGCACTGTATTCCTGAGGGCGGGTCACGTTTGGATGAACCTGACACGTTTAATGCGGTTTGGTGCTTTAAAGAAGGGTTGAAGACGATTCTGAGTTTCCACCGAAGCTACCGTAACTGTCTTTTATCGTGTTTTGGCGTACTTGACCGCATTGAACGAACTAGGTTCATTTAAACCTGACCCGCCCTGAGACAGCTGTACTGCCGATTCACCAGACAGGGGAAAACATGGAACCAGGGCTCTCGATTGGTTTTGGGCCACCCTTTCTAATCAGGGTTCTAGGTAGTCCCAACCCTGACTCATAGAGTACAAATTTTCGTTCCCTGACAAATACAGGGTAAAACACTAGTAGTCTGATTGGGCAGGGTACCTCTTTTGGTGGTACCTTATGACTTAGATCCGCAAGATCACTTGTTCGACTCTTGCTGTTGGGAGTATTTTGCAGGGGCTCGAATATTGTTTCGTCTCGCTAGGGAGCATTCGGTACTAGTGTAGTTGTGACGTACCTTGAAGAGTCAGAGAAACAAATCCCTTACGCCCTTTATCAAAGGGTTAAAAAAACTTACGGTACACTTTCTGGCCTAGGGTAAAAATCCTACTACCCTTTCTGATAAAGGGTAACTGAAAAAAAGAGGCCGCCAGTCAGGGCAATCAGGGTGTTTTACCCTGATAACGAGAGCCCTGCATGGAACTGAAGGAGCTCCGCTCCAGCAACCTGCCTGCCGACCATGGGGTAAGAGGACGTCCATTGAGTTCCTCGGTTCACGCCGGGATACATGGTGAGTACACTGCATTGTTGGCGAGCTGTTAGGCTACTGAGAAGCAAATCACATATGTGAACGGACGTGTCTACTAGGTACGCCTTGTGATGCATCTAGCTATTAAGCGTAGTAAGCCCAACCAGAGGTATGCTACAAAAACAACTACAATCTCCAACCACATTGGATTAACACAGTATGGTACCGCCTTTCAATTGTTTGCGCCAAGAACTTTAGCAATACATGCAGAGTTTTATTAAAAAAGGTAATGTTAACTTTTAGATGACAGTGCTGTTCTGTGATTCCTGGTCTTGTCCAGTTCTCGTGGAGGTCTTACCAACATTTCCTAGTTTATGATACCGTAGGCTTGGTAACAGCAAGGAACGGTGGGGAAGGGTGAGGAGCTGTGGATAATGGTGGGGAATGTGCAACGTGCGGCTGAACTGGAACATGTGTGCAAGGGGAATAAGGGGGAACAGTGGGGAGGGGAGGGAAAGGGTGGGGAAGAGTGTGGCAAGTGAGACCTTTCCTTTTTCTCCCACGCCCTCTTATTGAACTTGCACCACAATAGCACATGCAATGCAAGGCCTGAATTACATGGGAGTTTACATGCCGCTATCCAGAAGCAAAGCAGTATCCATGGCATGGACAAAAATCTACAGGCTCGACCACATATTGCAAACAAGAGCAATACAAGTGACAGCATGTTTAGGGTAATACACTACACCGTGGCCCACACGCCGTTATTCCTGCCCCTTGCCAGAAGGAGCGCTGTATCCATGGCATGGGTGACAAAAAGCAGACTCGACTACAAATTGCTGATGAGACCACGCCCAGTGATGGCGTGTTCATGACCCCTACACCGGGGTCCACGTGCCGTTGTTTCTGACCCTGGATGGGAGCAGCACGGTATCGACCGCGTGGACGACAATCGATGGGCTGGAGTACATGTTGCCGATGAGGACGCGCGCTCCTTCTGTGTCCTCCATCCTGTATAGCTTCAACCAGTAGTCCGTCTGATTCTTCTTCAGCGGTAGTTTATCAAGCGTTTCCAACTGCAATTATTATAAAAGGGATAGAGAGGGATTACAAGAGGGGATGAGTGTATGGAGGATGTGGTTGGGGAGGAGGAGAGGCGGGAATTCAGGTAAGGATGAGGTGAGAGGTGTAGGAATCGGTGTTAGTACGAGGGATGCGACGTTTCAATCTTACCTGAAATCCATTACCAAGGGCCTTGATGTCGTCGAGTTCCATCCGACGTGGCAGCACGTGATAGGCCATCACCTGCCAGAGAATACTCTTCTTCCTTTGCAGCCCTCCAAAGCGCGTATTCTTGGGCATGCGGAAATACGCTCCATTGGTTGGCGCAAAGATCGTAACATTCTTGGTGAGGAGTGTATTCATCAGCGTCTCATTCATACCTGTAAACATGGAACAATGCGTGGGGTCAAAGATGAATACAATCTGTTACACAAACATATTCAATATGAACTTAAAACACAGAAATACATTATTCGTAGGCACATGAGAGTGCACTACTGAAAAGGATTTTAGAGGAGATGTACGGCAACTCACCGCTCATTCGGATGCCTGTAGCAACCCCCGAGAATTTCCTCTCGTACAGAAACGACAAAACCTCGTTCACTTTCGCCAGCGTTGCCTCCTGCTCCACAGTCAGGATGGGCCCCGACGCTCCACCTGGCGTTCCGCCTGACCCTCCGCCTGACCCTCCACCTGACCCTCCGCCTGAAGCGCCGCCTGAAGCGCCGCCTGAAGCTCCGCCTCCGGAGCCCGCTCCTCCTCCGTTTTGACTTCCGCCTCCTCCACTCGCTTGCCCTCCGCCGGTCTGACTCCCCGTTCCCCCGCTACCGGTATGGCCACCAGTGTCCCCCCCGCTCCCCGTCCCGCTCCCCGCTCCACTTCCCCCTCCGCGGATCACATCTCCGCCATCCCCCGACGACCTCCCCGATTTAGATCCAGCGTCCGTTCCCGAACCTGTTCCCGAGCCTCCACCCGTACCTGTTCCCTTTCCCGAGCCAGATCCGGAGCCCCTTGACTTCCCCCCTCCTTTCCCCTTCCCCTTGCCTGCAAGGCTTCCCGTTCCCGTTCCCGTACCCCCCCCTGCGCCTGTCCCCGTTCCCCCTCCCGTGCTTGTTCCCGTACCTCCCCCCGCGCCTGTCCCCGTACCTTTCCCCGCGCCTGTCCCCGTACCTTTCCCCGCGCCTGTCCCCGTACCTTTCCCCGCGCCTGTTCCCGTACCTTTCCCCGCGCCTGTTCCTGTACCTGTCCCCGCGCCAGCCCCCGTACCTGTCCCCGCGCCTGTCCCTGCGCCTGTCCCCGTACCTTTCCCCGCGCCCGTTCCCGTACCTTTCCCAGCGCCCGTTCCCGTACCCTTCCCCGCGCCCGTTCCCGTACCCTTCCCCGCGCCCGTCCCCGTACCCTTCCCTGCGCCCGTCCCCGTACCCTTCCCTGCGCCCGTCCCTGTACCCTTCCCTGCGCCCGTCCTCGTACCTTTTCCCGCACCTGTCCCCGTACCCTTCCCCGCGCCCGTCCCCGTACCCTTCCCCGTGCCCGTCCCCGTGCCTTTCCCCGCGCCCGTTTTCGTGCCTTTCCCCGCGCCCGTCCCGATTTCCGGCACCTTCCGCGCACCGGTTCCCGTTGCTTTGCTCCCCCCAGTCCCCGTAGTACCCTTGCCGGCCGCTGCCGTCATCGCCATAAGACCGATCGTGCGATCAGAGCCGTCGGCGGCAGACGCGGTCTTTACGGATAGTTGGGAGCCACCACCGCCCAGCTCCGTTGCCATACCGAGATCGGTGCTCACGCCAAGCGATGTGCTGCTATCGAGAGATGATTGGCCCGCCGCCATGATGTTGGTGCGCCCCGAGCCGTCTGCAGTTCCGGCGGCGGCGGCAGCGGCGGGAAGCAGCGGCGATACGACGAGGGCGAGGAGCAGGAGGAGCGGGAGGGTCAGCAGGGTTAGGCCAAGTGGGGCTACGGCGGAGTGAAGAACTTGGGACGAACGCCGTGACATGCGCCGCGATTGCGTCGACGCCATGGCTGCGACTGTCATCGAGTTGAGGATGCGCTGCGTCGTCGTCGGATAACAGGGAATGATTTTTATGACTTGACGAAGTTTTTCAGCGGGAGGAACTACTGGCACGAGAAGCGATTTTTTTTGCACGGCTAATATTCGTTCCGAAGGTACTGAGTCGACTGAATCACGGTCGAAAACGAGCCCCGACGATGCGGACGCAGAGATAATGAGGAATTTTCAAGAATTCCAGGGAATCGAGCACTATTTACACCCTCGTGCGGCTCGCGAGCAGATATGCCAAACCACCGACGATGATACGTGACAAGGGGAGCGCGATGACTATGTCTGGTCGAACGCCGACTAGATACAAAGAAAGTAGAGCATACCTACGAAAAGTTGCGAATCATAGGAGAAAGCGCCTCAGGTCGCAAGAGTAGTCTGTTGGTAAAAAGCTTCGAAATCAAACGTCACGAAGAACTCGAGGGTTATGGTGTGTGGAGGCCGGGTGGGAGCACTGGAACCTATTCGTGTCCTAGTGGGCCAGTGTTTTGCGCTGCAGAAGCAATCTGCCGAGAATACCGCTGTCAACGTTGGCCAAGTGAAGCAGAACTCAGGCAATTCCTGGAAAGGCGAAGAAGCATGTGAGGAAGGATGCTGGCGAGGTAAGGTGGGAGGGTGGGGGTGGGAGGGATGCCGCCCCAGATTCCAGAATTCCAATTTCCAACGATTTTTTCCGGACCGCGAGCGACTCGCCTCAGGGCACTGGTGGAGTGTGGGATGGGTGGCTGGCTGCGTTGTCCCCCGTTGACCCCCCGCAACACAAGCGCCCCCTGATTGCTGGGTTGCGAGTTGCTGCAATGTGGCCGACGCGTGGGTATCATGCGACTCGGAAACCAAACTGTTTGGGTGAACATCTGAAATGTCGGAGTCCGAGATTTTTGGCAACGTGGTTCACTTCAGGTGTATCCGTGGGACAGCTGTACTGCCGAATCAGCAGACTGAAGCACAGCTGGGGAACATGGAACTTTAGGGCGCGTCCTCTCTCTAGAAAGAACATCCTTTGATCGATCGAGGCCAGCTACAATTTCGCAATTGACAGGGTAGCCAGATTTCGAGAAGGCTTGCAAATCTATAGTAACTTGTGCCCAACGATCTTGTAACCTCGGCTGTGACGATCGATGTGCCCTCGTGGCCACACCGATCTCGGCTTTAGAAGGATTGAGGATTTTTTGCCCCTTGTATTCTCGATCCTGTCACCCAGGGATCGAGATCGATCCGCTGTTTGCACCTCCTACCAATCCCATCACAGCGATCGCGCAATCGATCGAGGGAGGGGACGCGCCCTTACACACTCCAGCAATTTGTAGACGAGGTAATGTCCGCTCCATTGAGTGCCTGAGATAATGATTAGATGCATGGCGAGTACAGTGATCTTGACACAAAAGGTAACAGGCTACAACGAAGATAATAGCTGTTGTGACTGAACTAGATTGTGACTAGGTAAGCACTGTGTTTCATATAACATTATATTATTTATTAACTTTAGAAATTATTGTATTCTGCGCAAATATATAAACACATCTCTGCCCAAGGTGGTCGCATACAAACGTTCAAAATATGTGTATTTACGATGATAGTGTTTTATAGAATACGTGAGGAGTTGAAAGAGTGGTAAATTTCTATTCTGTATACGGTGCTGGAGGTGTTGCTCTAAGATGGCTGGTACTGTCCATTTCTCATGCAAGCCTAGAAATGAATCCCTCGTAGTGAATATACGCGTTTAAGCCAGCAGTTTTCTGTTCCATGCAGGAAATCGAGAACGACACAACCGAGGTAGGGATTGGCATTTCCTGCCAGCTATACCAGTTCTCCCCGCAAAAAACGGCTGTTTCGAACTAGGTTGGTCCACTCGGTACCTCGAAATCAGACCCCCGCGTCTAACGCTAGATGCGTTGAGAATCCATCGCGGCGTGTCGATCAGGAGAAGCTAAACTCGTATGAAATAGCTGAGGAATCGATGCGAAGTGCTTTGTAGCATCTCGAGTTCCTCTTTCCTCGCCTGACATTTTGTGCATTTGTCCTCTCAGAAGGCAGAGGTATACGTTTTGAAGGAACAAAAACAAAGTTGATTTCATGTACGTGAATGCCGTCCCCTCTCCGGTTCGGAATCGCAGTCGATCTTCGCTAGAAGACAGAGGAAGCCGAAACTCGCTGCAAGAGTTCTCGTTAGAAGAAATAGACGTCAGACCGGCACCATCATCGCCTGCATCTGCATTCTCCAATCCCGCTTCCTCCGCCGCCACCGCCGCCGCCGGTGCCGCGGCCGCGGTCACAGCCCTCATCCCCGCAGCAGGAAGCGTTTTTTCCCGCTTAAGCATGTTTCGTTCTAGTCCCGTATCGGGAAGCAGGTACGTGTCTCAAGTCCGGCCCGAGCCGCGCGCCGGAAAGGACGGCGGCAGCGACATCGACGAAGGCGATTCCGTCCACGACGAAGCTTCATCGCTGCTTCGCTCGGACGCGAGACCGTTTCCTACGTCCGTCGGTGCTGCCGGGGGCATCTTCGGCGGGTCTTACGGCGGCGGCGGCGGGGGCGGGTTTAGGAAGGGGAATCGGAGGCTAAGGACGCTGGCGGCGTGCGCAGCGCTGGTGGTGGCGGCGCTGGTGCTGGCGGCGTGCGCGGTGGTCGACGTGGCGGACGCGTGGCTGGGATTCGGAGGGACGCGACGGGCGGCGGGACTGGAGCGATGCGTGCCGCAGGACATCCCAGGTAGATGCAAGGGGAGTGGTGGGGAACGGTGGGGAGGGGTGGAGAATGGTAGGGTGGGGAACGTGCGACTGGCGGCGGGACTGGAGCGATGCGTCCCGCAGGACATCCCAGGCAGATGCAAGGGGAACTGTGGGGATCGGTGGGGAATGGTGGGGAATGGTGGGGTGAGGAATGTGCGATGGATGGGGAACGTGCGAGAGATCCTCAAATCCCCCCGCCCACCCTCGTTTGTAACCTGCCCCCGGAGGTGACAGTGGAGGGAGGTGAAGGTGGGGTGCTGCTGCTGCCACCGGCACATGACTCGTGCGCCTCTTGCTCACTCATACACCCTCCCCTCTATGCCAGTGCCATCACTGGCAGAGATGACAGTGGAGGGAGGAGAAGGTGGGGTGGATGATGCAGATAAACGAGCGAGTAGGGGCGAGGCGATGACTCTTGCCCTCGTTGGGGTAAGTGATTGTTGAGTCTACTTAAACATCACCTTTCTTTCCTTGCTGCTGGAATCTCGTGAAAATCCTCCGCCCCTTCCTTTCCCCCTCCCCCTTATGCCAGTGCCATTACTGGCGGAGATGACAGTGGAGGAGAAGGTGGGGCAGATGATGCAGATAGACGAGCGAGCGCTGGGATATGGAGACAACATCACAGTTTACCATATCGGATCAGTTCTTAGGTGAGTCTTTCTCTCAGGTGAGCCCTTGCCTCAGTGCAAGCCTTTCCCTGCTGCAACGTTTTCTTTGCGCTGGGAGGGAGACACGGAGACAACATCACAGTGTACCATATCGGATCGGTTCTTAGGTGAGTCTTTCTCGAATGGTCCTTCGCTGGTGCTCTCCTATGTTAAACTGAGTCATCACAGTGTACCATATCAGGCGTGCTTTTCTTGTTGGGGCGGTGGTAGGCAAGGCAACATCACAGTGTACCATATTGGATCAGGGAGTTTGTTGTACGACGTGACTTTTGAGTCGATTAAAAAGTCATCAGAGAGTTTATTGTACGACAAGTCCTTCTTAGGTGCGTTTCTTCTCTTGGGACTAGGGAGGCATGTTTCCACAGCTCATTTCCCGTATTCCTCCTCTTCCCCATCCCTCCTTCCCCGCGTTGTTTTCTTCCCCCCCGCCCTCGCCCTCCTCCCCTTATATTCCTTCCATCTGTGGGGGAGGGGCATGGCTGCAGTACGCCCCCAACACCCCCACGGCATGGGCAGACATGGTCGACAACTTCCAGGCCAAGGTGCTCAACATGCGTGTGCTCAACATGCGTGTGCTCCCTGTCTCAGTCTTCCCCTCCTGCCCGTGCTTTGCCTCCCGTGCTTTGCCTCCCGTGCTTTGCTGTGTCATATGCCAGTGGGGGAGGGGCATGGCCCCAATACGCACCCAACACCCCAAGAGCATGGGCGGACATGGTTGATAACTTCCAGGCGAAAGCACTCAACACGAGGCTGCGGTTGCCAGTGCTGTACGGGGTAGATGCGGTGCACGGGCACAACAACGTGCAGGGGGCGACTATTTTCCCACACCACGTGGGGCTGGGGGCGGGTGGGGATGCCACGCTTGTAGAGGCGATTGCTGCCGCTGTGGCAAAGGTGAGCTGCCGATGTGTGAAGGCTCGGGCCAAAGTGCTCACTCACCACTCGCCTGCTGCGGGTGCCAGTGCTGTACGGGGTAGATGCAGTGCACGGGCACAACAACAACGTGCAGGGGGCGACTATTTTCCCCCACCACGTGGGACTGGGCACCACTGGGAACGCAACACTTGTTGAGGAGATTGCTGCGGCTGTGGCCAAGGTGAGAGTGCAGGTCAAGGCGAGGGCTCTAAGCCAGGTGAGTTGGGGTGAAGGGCATGGGTCAAGCCGCTCAACACGAGGCTGCATGTGCCGGTGCTGTATGGAGTCGAGCAGCTGTCGCTAAGGTGATTCGGGGCTGCTGCTGCTAAGTTGAATTGAGCGATTGTGACCATCTCATCTGCCAGGCCCCACCCTACCCCGCCCCACCCTACCCCACCCTACCCCACCCTACCCCACCCTACCTCACCCTACCTCACCCTACCCCGCCCTACCCCACCCATTCCAGGAAGTGGCAGCGACGGGGGTGCGGTGGACGTTCGCCCCGGCAGTCACGGTGTGCCTCGACCCCCGCTGGGGCCGCTGCTACGAGAGCTATGGGGCGAACCCAGGGCTTGTAACAGAGCTTGCTATAGCGGAGATACGTGGATGGATGGTGAGGGGAACAACTAGAGAGGGGTAAGGGGGGGTTAGCAGGAGGAGGAGAAGGGGGACTAGCAAAAAAGAGATCACCAAACTGCTGCATTTTTCTTCTTCTCACAAGGCTCAGGAGGTTTTCTTTTTCTTCTTCTCACAAGGCTCAGGAGGCCTTCTTTTTCTTCTTCTCACAAGGCTCAGGAGGCCTTCTTTTTCTTCTTCTCACAAGGCTCAGGAGGCCTTCTTTTTCTTCTTCTCACAAGGCTCAGGAGGCCTTCTTTTTCTTCTTCTCACAAGGCTCAGGAGGCCTTCTTTTTCTTCTTCTCACAAGGCTCAGGAGGCCTTCTTTTTCTTCTTCTCACAAGGCTCAGGAGGCCTTCTTTTTCTTCTTCTCACAAGGCTCAGGAGGCCTTCTTTTTCTTCTTCTCACAAGGCTCAGGAGGCCTTCTTTTTCTTCTTCTCACAAGGCTCAGGAGGCCTTCTTTTTCTTCTTCTCACTCAGGCCTTGTGAGCGATTTTCGAGAATACTAGAAAAAACCCTACAGCCTTGTGAGCGATTGTCGAGAATACTAAAAAAGTCGCTCCATTCTCTCTCTTCATTTGACGTGTGATTATTTCTATGAATCAAGACGTACTTTTCTTAAAGCAACAAGTTCAGCAAAACAGAACCCCCTCCTCCTCCTTCCACCCCATTCCCTGCCTCAGAAAGTGCCTTCCGAGGCTGGGAACTTTCCAGGAAGCGTCTTCATGGCGCCAACAGCAAAGCACTACGTGGGGGATGGGGGCACAAGGGGAGGTGTGGACCGGGGGGAGACGGTAGGGGGGGAGGCGGTACTGAGGAAGGTGCATCTGCTGCCGTACGTGGCGGCTGTAGCGGAGGGCGTGTCTACCATAATGGCGAGCTACAGCAGCTGGAACGGCACCAAGATGCACGGCAATGGGTGAGTGAGCTACAGCTGGGGCAAGTGGGTGAGTGCATGGATGGAATGGAAGCAGGTTGTAGCGGAGGGCGTGTGTGTGTCTGCCAGCATGGCGAGCTACAGCAGCTGGAACGGCACCAAGATGCACGGCAATGGGTGAGTGAGTGAATGAGTGAGCTACAGCTGGGCATGACTGCATGTGCGCTACAGCTGGGCATGACTGCATGTGCGCTACAGCTGGGCATGACTGCATGTGCGCTACAGCTGGGCATGACTGCATGTGCGCTACAGCTGGGCATGACTGCATGTGCGCTACATCCACTACAGTGGGGGCTCTTATAGTGGCAGAGGGGGGTTGGCTGTAGCGGAGGGTGTGTCTACCATCATGGCGAGCTACAGCAGCTGGAACGGCACCAAGATGCACGGCAACGCGTGAGTGGGTGCGCTACAGCTGGGGGCAATGGTTTCGCTTCATCCCCCTTCCACCTCACCACGCACCACCACTTCACCTCATTACCCCTGTCACTTGTTCCTTGTTTCATGGCCCCCACCGGCTATTTCTTGACAGCCTTGCTTCGCAACGAGATTCACTTTTGAGACTCCTGAGAAACACACACCTAGTCACCCTCCATCCCTCTACCCTCCAACCCTCCACCCTCCACCCCTCCACTTCCCCCCTTCCCCTTCCAGCTACCTCTTGACGGATGTGCTTCGCAAGGAACTCGGCTTTGTGGGCCTCATGGCGTCTGAATGGGAGGCAACCTCCACCCCTCTCCACCTCTCTCCACCGCCTTAACACCCCCCTCCCGTCCCCTTCCAGCTACCTCTTGACGGACGTGCTGCGCAAGGAGCTCGGCTTTGTGGGCCTCATGGTGTCTGACTGGGAGGCGCTCAAGGAGCTTCCAGGAAGCTACGAGGACCAAGTAGGTAGCAGTATTCATTGTTATTGTTATTCTTTTTGTTGTTATTACTATTATTATCATCATTATTGTTATCATTATTGTTATTGTGATTATTGAAGTTGTTATTCCTATTATTATCATCATTATTGTTATCATTATTGTTATTGTGATTATTGAAGTTGTTGTCACTACTAATACTATTTTTGCCGTTCTTTTCTCCTCCCTCCTTATCTCTCTTACCCTCGTGTCTGAAAATTCCACATTGGTGTGATATCCAACTCAGGTCTCAATGTGATCAAGGTTTCCAACAATTTTGCTCATTTCCCCTTCCACTCTTCCTCTCCCTCCTATACGTTCCCTCCGTTTCACTCCCTCAATCATCTCCAGGTTGCCCTGGGGGTCAACTCGGGACTTGATATTATCATGGTTCCTATTTTCAACGACTTCACCGATTTCTCAGCCACCCTCAAGTCTCCCTTCCTCTCCCTCCTTTCATTTCCCCCTGTTCCTCTCACCCTCCTCCCCCACATACCCAGGTTGCCCTGGGGGTCAACTCGGGACTCGATATGATCATGGTTCCAAACGACTTCGCCAATTTCTCGACCACCCTCACCTCTCTAGTCAACTCGGGGCGCGTTCCCATGTCACGAATCGACGAGGCCGTGTCGCGCGTTCTCTCGCTTAAACACTCCCTAGGTCTGTTTGACAAGGACTTGGTCTGTGCGCGCCACTCCTCCTCCTTCTTCTCCTCCTCTTCCTCCTCGCTCTCCTCACGCTTCCTCCCATTTTTTGGCTGCCCGGAGCACCGCCAACTTGCCCGAAAAGCTGTAGCGGCCTCGCTGGTGCTTCTACAGGACAAGTGGAGGAGAGGGGGGACCGGAAGCGGGTATAACGCTGCCGTCTGGGGCCGGGGCAGGAAGAAAATGTTTCCGCTGCCCGTGGAGGGGGCGAAAATCGTTGTTGCGGGCAGCCATGCAAACGACATTGGGAGGCAGTGTGGCGGATGGACTATCACATGGCAGGGGGAAGAGGGACCTATCACCAAAGGCACTACTATTTGGCAAGGGATTAAAGACCTAATTGCCGGCCGGGCGGCGAGCCTAACCTATATCGGCTACCCGCCTGAAGACGACCGTTACGAGAACGGGACGAGAAAAAGGCCGCTCGAAGCCGCCCGGGAGGCGGCAGCAGCGTGGGCGAAGCGAGCAAGGAGTGTAGAAGCTGACCTTGGGATTATAGTTGTAGGGGAGCCGCCTTATGCCGAGTACAAGGGGGATGATCAGCAGCTGGAGTTGAGCGGCCCTGCCCGGTCGACAATTTTCGGGATTTGCGGGCGGATTCCGTGCGTTGTGGTGGTGGTTTCCGGGCGGCCGCTGAATGTTACGGGCATGTTACCGCATTTGGATGCGCTAATAGCCGCGTGGTTACCCGGGTCAGAAGGAGGGGGTGTAGCCGATGTGTTATTTGACGAAGCGGTGGATTTCAAGGGGAAATTACCCTTGCCGTGGTTCCGTTCGGTCAGGGATTTGCAGCCGGATCACTCTTGGCCTAACCCGCCTCTGTTCCCCATGGGGTTTGGGCTGAGTAAGGCTGGTGAGCTGATTGGTAACAGGGTGGGAGGCGAGGGGCCACCATAGGGAGGGGAGGGAAGGGACTTGCAGCCGAACCACTCTCCTGGCCCAACCCACCTTACGGTAGTTCTTAATGGGGTTTGGGCTGAGCAAGACAGGTAACTGATACCGTAGATAACAGGGAGCGAGGAGAAAGAGCACCATAGGGAAGGCACCATAGGGAAGGGAGTTGATTCGCAGCCAAATTATTCCCTTGGGCTGGGCCCAACCAACCTGCCTTTGTCATAGGATGTTATGATTCGTAAAAATGAAATCGTGTGGTAACCAGTTGCATGGTGAGTCGTGGGGAAAGTGGGGGGAGGAGGTGAGAAAGGGGGGTTGTGGGGTGAGTAATCGTTCTGTGTGGGCAGGAGGGAAGAGGTGAGGAAGGGGGGGAAGGGGGCAAGCTCCTACATGCATGCTGAATCCTACCTGCTACCGTATGTTCCACTATACCAGTAAAACTACCGTAATTCCGAATAAGAAGCTAAACCGTTATAATGTTTTGAAAGCAGTGAGCCGCAACACCATTGTGATCTGTACTAAAAGGGAAGGTAATTCAGATGTCCAATCCTTGTTGCAAACAACCCTGAACCTGAACTATATACAGATGCAGAAACTGCAATACGATACTCTCGATGCCTTTGGGCAGGTTCCAGCATGGGAAGAAGCAATCTAGGGTGCATTCTTCTCATGTGCGCTCTCAGTGAGTCACTACTAAGCCCCGCTGCCTTGCCACACAAACCACAGGCACATACTGCTTCTGACGCCCCTCAAGAAGCAGATTCAAGAGGAGTCAAACACGTTCTATAGTGCATTCTCCTCATGTGCGCTCTCAGCGAGTCACTACTGAGCCCCGCAGCCTTGCCGCACCCAGCACATGCGCGCACTGCCTCTTAGGCCCCTCAAGACGCAGATTCCAGAGGAGGAAGAGGCGTCCTGGGGTGCATCCTCCTCATGTGCGCTCTTAGGGAGTCACTGCTGAGCCCCGCTGCCTTGCCACACACGCCACACACCCGCACTGTTGGTCGGCTCACTCGCCCCCTCGGGCACCAGGGCAGAGCAAGAGGCACGGGGGAGACAGAGGGGGAGGAGGCGGGTGCAGTTGCTGCAGGAGCAGAGGCAGGGCCGGAGGAGTGGGGGGTAGGCGCAAGAGGAGGAGCGGTTGCGGTGGTGGCAGGAGGGGTGAAAACATCAGGAGCAGCAGCAGTAGCAGCAGCATCAACACTGGTATAGGGGGTTGTAGGTGCTGCAGGAACGGCAGCAGAAGGGGTTGCAGCAGCAGCAGTGACAGCGGCAGTGCTAGCAGTGTTGACGGTGGGAGCATCAGTACTGGTATTTGCCGGCATGTCACAGGGAGGAGTTTGGGCAGCGGTGGGAGGAGGGAGAAGAGGAGGCGGAGATGGAGGAGGGGGAGGGGGGAAGAGCTGTCTGTCGAGGGCCACGAGCTGGCGGAGGAAGGCGGTGTTGGGGGCGGCGTGGGGGTGGGCGGAATGCAGCACCACCCATGCCTCCGCCAGGGGCATGCGCCTGGGGGGAAAGGACAGGGGGGGAGTGGGGAACGAGGGGCGGGGGGAGGAGGCAAGGGGCGCCGGGTGGGGGCCACAGAGGAAGAAGAGTTAGCGAAAAGAGATGGTAAGGGGAAAGGAAGAGGGAAAATGGGAAAGGAAGGCGCAGGAGGGTGGGGGGGGGAAGAGCCGTCTGTCGAGGGCCACGAGCTGGCAGAGGAAGGCGGTGTTGGGGGCGCCATGGGGGTGGGCAGTATGTAGCACCACCCATGCCTCCGCCAGGGGCATGCACCTGGGGGAATGGGGGACAGGGGGGGATGGGAGCAGGGGGACGAGTGAAGAGATTTCAGTCAAGGGGACCAGTTGGTATGTAGAGGAAGGTGGTGTTGGGTTACCGTGGGGGTGGGCTGACTGCAACACCACCCATGCCTCCGCCAGGGGCATGCGCCTGGGGGACGGGGGACAGGGGCAAGGGGAGAAAGGGGCAGGGGGACGAGAAGATAGGGGGATGAGTGAGTGAAGATCTTCGGTCGGGGGAGAGCAGCTGGCGGAGAAGAGCAGTGAATGTGGGTCCATGGGGTTGGGCTGGGCTGGGCTGGCAGTGTACCAGCACCCCCTCGCCCTTGCTGATGGCTGCTTCCAGGAAGCTGCTTGTTGTGTCGATGTACTTGCTCAGGTCCTCCCGGTCCGAAGAGCAGTGAAGGTGGGGCCATGGGGTGGGGTTGGGCTGGGCTGGCAGTGTACCAGCACCCTCTGACGTACCTCGTGAGGGCCTGCTGGTCGTGAGGCCCTCTCGAGGTAAGTGTACACTGGCAGTGTACCAGCACCCCCACTTCGTGAGGGCCTGCTGGCAGTGTACCAGCACCCCCACTTCGTGAGGGCCTGCTGGTCGCCTCGACGTACCTCTGAATGCTTCTTACCCACCGTGCCATACACACCCCCTTGTGTGTGCCATACGCACAAGCATACCTTTTGGTCATGAGGTAAGCGAGCACGATCGACACGGATCGGCTGCGGCCCTCGTAGCAGTGCACCAGCACCCCCTCGCCCTTGCTGATGGCTGCTTCCAGGAAGCTGCTTGTTGTGTCAATGTACTTGCTCAGATCCTCCCGGTCTGAGTCGCGCATCTGATGGGGTCAGAGAGGCAGGGAGGTGGGGAGTGGCGTGGGGAGAAAGGCGGGCAGGGCAGGGGGGTATGGAGTCGTGCACAAAGCGAATTCTGAGAGTTCTCAAGAGTGATTCGAGCACATCTGCTCGTTGTGTCGATGTACTTGCTCAGATCCTCCCGGTCTGAGTCGCGCATCTGATGCCAGAGCAGAGGGATTACGGTGGAAAAGGGCGAGGAGAGGAGGGCGAGGAGGGCGAGGTGGGGAGCACACTTTGAGACATGCCGAGAGGGGCAAGAAGGGATGTTTGGAAACACAAGTTCTAGAGACTGGCAGAAACGCACAAGAGGGGGAGAGGACGGAGAGAAAGAGAGAAAGGGGTGGAGCACAAAGGAGAAACGGGGGCGAGAGGAGAGAGAAAAGAGAGGTTCCTAGGGGGAAGGAGACGAAGCGACAAGGGCAATAAATCCACCAATCCCCCTTTTCTTTCCCCTCCCTTCCTTCCTCTTCCCTAGCCCCCAGGGCAATCTCCACATACCGGCAGAACGAGGTAGTTGAAGAGGGGGGACTGCTCCGCATCAGGGTCTAACAGGTCCGTGGGGCAGAGCGTGACGACGTGGCGCACGCTCAGGTGGTGCAGCAGGGGGAAGGAGCGGGCAGCAATGGCGGAGCCAAGGTAGAGGTGGGGGAGGACGAGCGAGGGGCGTTCGGTCGCCATGGAGTCTTGAACAAGCCCCCACCGCTCCAGCAGGTGGTGTAGACGAACCTGAAGGTGGAGGGAAACGGAGTTTGGAGTGGGGATGAGGGGAGGGGAAGTACAGGACGGGTGAGCACAGGTGGTGCAGCAGGGGGAAGGAGCGCGCAGCAATGGCGGAGCCCAGGTAAAGGTGGGGGAGGACGAGCGAGGGGCGCTCAGTGGCCATGGAGTCCTGCACCAGGCCCCAGCGTTCAGTGGCCATGGAGTCCTGCACCAGGCCCCAGCGCTCTAAGAGATGATGTAGGCGCACCTGCGGAGAGGGAGGGGTGTTGAAGGGAATTAGGGAGGGCACCACTTAGGATAGGTGGGAGGGAGAGGAGCGAGAGGAGCAGCGGTGGGTTCATGAATGGGAGGACATGCCCAGGTGGAGCAGCAGAGGGAGCGGGCAGCAATGGCGGACTCTGTCACAAACGACACCTCAACTTGAAGACCGAAACTCCCCCACAAGTGGAAAACAAACCAGCACTCGCCTTGGCCTCATACACGTGTCAACCAGGCTGTGCGCCCCACCCCCCCCTCACACTCGCCTCCGTGAACTCTGTCGTCACAAATGGCACCTCACACGAGCTACAAGCCAAGCTCACACGTTACGCCCGTGTAATGCAAGCCATAACGTCTCGCCTCGAGCTACAATTCATAAGCATCCACCAGGCTGTGCGCCCCGCCCCCACCACTCGCCTCCATGAACCCTGTCGTCACAAACGGCACCTCACACAAGCATACAAGCCAGGCTCACACTGTACACCCTTGTACATGCAACCCATAACCTCTCACCTTGAGCCCATAAGCGTCCACCAGGCTGTGCGCCCCGCCCCCTCCACTCGCGTCCATGAACCCATGAAAGAAAATATTCTCTTCAAAACAACCTTATGTGGAAAACAACGCACTCACCTTGAGTACATATGCGTCAACCAGGCTGTGTGCCACAAACAGCTCCCCATGCGAGCATACAAGCCAAGCTCCTACAAGCTACCCTCAAATTCAGCTCATACGTATCAGCCAAACCGTGTGCCCTGCCGCCCGCCCCACTCGCCTCCATGAACCCCGTCACAAACGGCACCTCACATGAGCATACAAGCCAAAAATGCACCACCACACTCATGTAGGGTGTAACAAGCCACTCCCTCTCACCTTCAACTCATATGCATCCACCAGGCTGTGTGCCTCGCCTCCCCCACTCGCCTCCATGAACCCCGTCACAAACGGCACTGCAGCCGCCTTGCAAATCCGCCCCGCCTCCTCCCGCATCATGCCATCCCACCGCTGCACCTGCTCCTCCTGCTCCTCGTCCCCCTGCGCTGACTTCCTCACTCCACAGATCTCCATACCAGACATGCAAACCCCTTGACCCACAAAACCCTCGCCCTGCAAACCCACTACTCACCTTGAGTTCATACGCGTCAACGAGGCTGTGTGCCCCGCCCCCTCCACTCGCCTCCATAAACCCCGTCACAAACGGCACTGCAGCCGCCTTGCATATCCGCCCCGCCTCCTCCCGCATCATCCCGTCCCACCGCTGCACCTGCTCCCTCAGCTCCTCGTCCCCCTGCGCTGACTTCCTCACTCCGCGAATCTTCATGCTCAGCCGCGAGGGTAAACCACCCAGAGACGCCCTCCAGGCAGCGGCTTTGACTGCGGATTTGCTGATGGAGGCAGGTGCGTGACGGGGGTTAGCGGGGGTTTTGTGGGAGGACGGGGTTTTGTGGGATGGGGTTTTTTGGGAGGGGGTTTGGATCGTGGAGGGGGTTTTGAGGGTGGAGGAGGAGGTTTTGTGGGAGGGGCGAGAGGTGGGGCTGCGGATGGGGAGACGGGTGCGGTTGGCTGGGGGAGTGTGCATGCTGCTGGTGCTAGTGTCACGAGCAGAATCAGTGGCAGTATCAGTGGCAGTGTCAGTGGCAATATCAGTGGAAGGAACAGGTGCGGGATCAGCAAGAGTGGTAGTGGTGGCGGTGTCAGTAGCATTGTTCGTGGCAGTGGTGGTGGTGGTGGTCAGAGGAAGGTGTGGTTGCTTCTGCCGATGGTGGGTAGGGCGGATAATGGGTGAGGGGCGGATGGAGGGAGGGGAGGAGAAGGCGGAGGAGAGGGACATGGGGGAGGTGGCACGGGTGGGTGGCGAGCTGGCAGCGCTGACAGCAGCGCTAGTGGGAGCAGTGGTAACAAGAGGAACCGCAGCAGCAGCAGCAGCAGGGGGACCTGCATCTGAAGAGCTTGCATCTCCTTGTGTCGATGCTTCAGCTGTGGCCTTCCCAGCAGCTTCCCCAGCTGCTTCTCCAGCTGCAGATGCCGCTGCTGCTGCTTGTCGGTCTGCCTCGTCGGTTGCTGCGGTCTTCTCACAGATTCTACTAAGGAAGGGCGAGCGGGCGCTAGTGAGGGAAGGAGATCGGGGAGCGTAGCGAGCAGGGGAGCGCACGAGGCGGGGCGAGAGGGCAGCACCAGCAGATGATCGGCGGTATGGGCCAGGGGAACGTGGGGGAGCAGGCGAGCGGGGAGGAATGGGTGAGCGGGGAGGAGCAGGGGAGCGAGGGGGGATTGGAGAGCGAGGAGGGATAGGGGAGCGGGGAGGAGCGGGAGAGCAGGGAGGGGCGGGGGAGGCGGGGGCAGAGAGAGCAGGGGAAGGGGGAGGGGCACGGGGGCGCCGAGAGAGAACAGTGCGACGACCACCAGCACTGACACTGCCACCAACACCACTACCGCCGCCACCACCACCACCGCCATCACCACCACCATCACCACCACCATTGCCCTCTGCAGCTGAATCAGCATCAATATCAGCAGCAGCAGCAACAGCGTCAGCAGCATCAGCATCAGTAGGAGAGCAGTCAGTGCGAGAGGCGTAGCCATACGCAGGCCCAGCAGCAGAGGGAGGCATGACTGGGGGAGGTGATATCCGCCTCATCACATGCTGAGAGTACGACTCCTCGCTAGGAGAGGGAGGAAAGGAGGAGGAAGGGTGGGAGTTGACAGCACTCAAGAACCTCTCGCAACGGGGAAACCTGTTAGAGGGAGGAGTTGAGGGTGACGCTTTAGAAGGTGATTCGTTAGAAGGTGACCCGTTACAGGGTGACCCCTTACAGGGAGAGGTTTCAGCAGACGGGGGCGCTCGAGGGGAAAGAGGGGCCGCCTGGGGGGAGGAGTTGAGGGAAGATTCGAAGTCCCTGGGGGTGTGGGGCGACCACAGGGCGGTACTATGTGAGCCGGCAGTGTGGGGGGAGGGTGTTACTGGGGAAGGTAGATCTGGGGCAGGTGCATTGAAAGGCTCTTCCAGCGGATCTTCTGCTGCTGAATTGGCAAGGGGGCGGAGGGAGGGCAGATATAGGGTCCTGCTGGCGTCAGCAGGTGCTATGGATGAGTCATCGTGGGAGAATGATGATGTCGGAATGGATGATGACGTGGAAGGCGATGGTGATGACGTGGTTCTTCTGACTATTGCAGTGGTGGCGGAAGGAGGAACAGAGTCAGGGGAAATGGGGTCTTCCGCTTCAGGAACAGGAGATAGGACAGGAGGAGGAAGTGGCAAATGAGATGAAGGGGCTGTGGAAGTGAAGGAGAGAGGCGGAGGAAACAGTCCAGTGCCTTGGCCTGCAGATGTCTCCTCAGCAACATCTGTAATCCTTTGTGCTGCTGTTATAATCTCTGGCTCTTTGGCAGCACCACCTCCAATGCTGCCACAGCCGCCACCACTGCCATCACCACTGCCTGTAACCCCATCATCACCACTAGCACCACTGCTGCCATCCCTCTTGCTGTCGTTCTCCCGCTCCCCACCAACACTTCCAAAGTCCAACCTACTCGCAGCCATGTGCGCAGTGCGGCACGAGATAGACGGCGAGGATCGTCTCGTAGCAGGTCCTCGCCGCCCAGAACAGCTGTCACCACCACACTTCAAGTCGGAACCAGCACCACCGCCAATCCTGCTGTCGCTGGAGTCACCAATCCCACCGAAACCACCACTATTACCGCCATCGCATCCCTTGTTGTTGACTCCTTGCCTTTGGGCGGATAAAGGTGAGAGAATGTGAGATCCCTTTCGGAAAGGAAATGGGGTCGTTGTGTTCATATCAACCAACGCCAACCCTCCTCCTCCTACCCCTCCTCCCGCTACTCCTCCTCCTCCTCCCTCCACTCCCCTCCCTCCGCGCTCTACCACCCTTCCCTCTCCTCCCACCACCCTCTCCTGCTTCCCACTGTCACTGTCTCTCCTACCACCATATCCCATCCGGCCCTCACTCTCCCCACTCTCCCAGCCTCCAGCAGCCGCCTCAAACTCCCCACTTCGCACACGCTCTCCCAATCGCCCGCTCTGCCCATTCTCCCCACCTCTCCTGCCCTCCCGGCCTCGTCCGCCCTCCCCTGGCCCATCGAGTGCAGGCACGGAGGTGACAAACGCGAGGAAGGCGCGGAGCATGTCGTCCAGCCGCGAGTGCAGCGCTGCCAGCGTGCGCTGCACGCGCCCCATCTCCTCCACCGCCTCCCTGAACCCCTGCTGGAACGCACGCGTTTCTGGGGACACGATGGGGTGTGCTGCTGCTGCCAGTGCCAAGTCGGAGGGCTGAAAGGTCATGCTGCTGCTGCTCCTATTGCTGCTAGTTTTAGTGATGATTTTGGCACCAGGTTTGGTGGCGGCGGTAGCAATGGTTGCGGTAAAGGTGGTAGTGGCAGTGATGCTGGTTGTAACAGCAACAGCAGCGCAGGAGGTACTGGTGCTGTTCGGGGATGCAGGGTCGGTACAAGCAAAGCTTTCTATAGCCGCTCCAGCTTCAGTAAGCGCAGGGAGGGACTGCGATTGACTGTGAACAGGCTGCATGCAAGCATCTGTAGCAGGGGCAACAGCACCGGTACCACCTGTAGAAGCAGCCGTAGCAGCAGCAGCAGCAGCAACGCCTGTGGCAGCAGCTGTAGCAGAAGCGACTGCACCAGCACCAGTTCCAGAAGCACCAGACGAGGAGGACGAGAAGGAGGAGCAGGACGAGCCAAACGAGGACGACTCTAGCGAGGATGAGAACGACGACGATCCTGGCAGTAGCAGGTAACCGCCAGTATCACCTGCTACTGGCGGGAGCACAGAGCACCTCGCACCCACCTCATCACCCAGAGAACCCAACACATGCAGCTTGTCCTGCTTGTCCCGCTCGCCCAGAATGCTCAGCTTATCCTGCTTCTGCTGCTCACCCAGAGCACCAAAGGAGGCGTGGAAGAGGGTGTGGGCAGCAAAGCAGGGGTCATGCAGCAGCAGCTGCACGAGGCGTGGAATGGCCTCCCTGTCCTGCTCTGCCAGCCCGGGCGGCACGCGGCGGCAGATGGACGAATCAATCACCACTACCTCCTGCCGCACACGCACGTGCTCTACCTCCTGTCCTGCTGGCAGCTGAGTTACCTGATTCCCCTGCTCCTCCTGATTTTTGTCTCTATCGCATCCTCCCCCTCCCCCATCGGTTCTTCCCCTTCCCCTTCCTCGTCCCCTCCCCCTCCCCCTCCCCCTTCCTCCTCCACCTCCTCTTCCTCCACCCTCCCTGCCTCCACTCCCTCTTCTGTGGCCAGACCGACCACCCAATCCCCCCTCCTTCGCACTCTCCTTCCGCTCCCATGCTTGCAATAACGGTCGGTTGGAACATAAGATGTTACCGCGGTTACCCCTCCACCCCAATTCCGGGCAGGGTAACCGGTCATCGTTCCTCAACATGATATCCAGCAGCAGCACACGGCCCAAAGAGTGCGCGGTCTTTTCCCGGGCAGATTGGTCAGGGAAAAGTTCGTTCCGGGGACAAGAAACGAAAGATTGCCCTTTTACATGCCTGCACAAATGGGCACAGGATAGACAGGCGCATGAGAAAATTGAGCTGGCGGGTTGCTATGGGCAACGAACCTTGAGACGTTTCAAAACACAAGGGGGGAGGGAGACCGACAAGAAGCAACGCGGAGAAAAAACAAATTCAAACAATCCGAGCGACAAAACAATAAACACAACAGCAGGCGACCGGTTTCCTCCACTCGATTTATCAGCGGAAAGAAATTAGCGTGCTGCTGAGACTCACCCCATGAACAAGAAGCATCGGCTCAGCTGCAGGGCTTCCAGAAACTCCTCCACCACACTCGCCTCCTCCTTCCCTCCACTCTCCTTCCTTTCCACCACACTCCCTCCCTCCTCCGCTCCACCATCCCTCCCGTCCACCTCCTCCCCTCTCCCGCTCCTACCCCCTTCCCCTCTCGCCTCCACCTCTCTCTCCCTCAGTCGTTCCACAGCCAGAACCACCTCCTCCCACTCCTGACTCTGCTTCACAGCAAGCTCATGCGCCGACAAACAAGGATCATGGCCTCGACCACAAACGTCCACCTGGCCGGGGAACCCCCGCTGCTGGTTTTCTTTATCCATTGTGAAACGGTCGTCGTTGTCGCTGCAAGCACCAGAACCACCCAGAGATGCCATACTGCAAGTTCCAGCTACTGTGGCCCTTCTCCTACCCGTGTTGCCGGTGTTGCTGCTGCTGCTGTTGGTGTTAGTGGCACTGCATAGCACGGGGCTGCTGTGGGTGCTGCTTCTGCCGTGATTCCCCCTGTGCACCACGCGCACCTGCGGCGTGGCAATGCCCAGGTGCATGGCCAGCTCTGCTCCGAATCGCTCAGACTGCACCACAATGCGCGACCCCGCGAATTTGATGCACGCTGCTGCCAGTTGTGGCTGGTGTTCTAACCCTTGTCCTTCACGTCCTAACCATTCCTTCCCAGCCTTTTCCACTCCCCTGTTATCTTTGCTTTGGAGTGTGTCTTGAGGCGGAATTTGCGGCCCCAGCTTTTCCTCAATCGCCCCATTCCTGCCTTCCTCCTCTGTTTCTTTGTGCTCAAAATCGCCCCGTTGGGGTCCAGCATCGAGCATCTTCTGTTGGAACAGTGCAAAGTACACAATCCCGCCAGAGTTGACGGTCACCTGGGGCACGAGGAGGAACAGAAAGAACGGAGAAGCGAAGGAGTGGACACAGAGGGATCAAGGAGCAAGGCAGCTTAGGTCACAAGTCCCCATGGAGAGACGAAACGGGAATGAAGTAGAAATATCAGCAGTTCAGGAGAAAGGGCCTGCAGGACGCATGAGGGTCGCCTGAAGAACACCTGAAGGACACACCACAGATAGACAACCGTGGGTGCGTTTGGATGCCTTACCTCCACACTACCGCTCTTTTCCATCACAGGTGCGTCAGAAAACCCCTCTCCTCCTCCCCCACCTCCCCCTCCTCCTCCACCTGCGACAGCAGAACTACCCTCCCCTCCCACTTCTGTGCGGTACAGGGCCACCAGATCCGACCAATCGAACCGCCCAACGCGTACGTCCAGCTCAGTAGCCCGCGCCAGCTGCTGCTTCCAGTCCCCAAACTTGTACCCGTGCCACGAGTCTTGGCGCTCGCTCCGAGCCTCTGAATGCTCGTACTGCGTCTTGCTTCGCCCAGCCTCGCAGCTTCCCCACCCAGCTTCGTCAGACTTGATCCGTACCTCATCATTCTCTAGTTGGGGGTCATAAGAACTACGCTGAGGTGCCTTACCATCAGTAGCATCGCTTGCAGCAGCAGCGGTAGCAGCAGCAGCAACAACAACAGGATGCCCCAGCTGTCCCACTAATTCCGCCTCAGAAGCAGCACTAGAAGGAGCAGCAGCAGGAGGAGGAGAAACAGAAGCAGGTGCAGGAACGGGAGGAGCTGGAGGGAAAGGAGCAGCAGCAGCAGGTGCGGCCCTGCTAGCAGCAGCAGTAGGTAGGGAGACAATAAGAGCATCACCCAAACCACAGGCTGTACCCCCTTCCACCTCTTCCCCCTTCCCTAGGACACGACAACCGTCAGATTGTTGCTCCTCAACCTCACTACCACTCTCTCCATTGGGGCGGCTCCTTGTCTGCTTCTGCGCCTTCCCCTCCTCCTCCTCTGTCAAACCTCCTCCGTCGTCCTCCCTCAAGCCTTCCCCACTGTACTTCACTGTACTCGCACCACCTTCCCCAGCCAGTCCACCTGGCACCACCCTATTGGCTAGCCCTGGCTTCTTGCTCCAATCCCTTCCACTCTCCTTACTGTAACAGTCCCACATAGTCACACCGTCAGCCATAGGCCACGAGGCTCGCACTATAGGGCCATCCTCTGCTGCTGCTACAGCTGCTGCAGCAGCTGCTGCTGCGGCTGCCATAGTCGCTGGGCTGAAACGGGAGGCAGAGTTGAGGCCAGGAGGGGAGGCTCCACCTGGGGTCGGTTGTAGCATTTCTCCACCACCACCCGTCCCCACACCAGCATCACCATCACCACCGGACCCCTTATCATCACCACTACCATCATTACTATCACCATTCGTCCCCTCACTACAGTTCTCGCCATCACCTGCTTTAAATCCTTTCGTCTTCACCCCTCTACTCCCCAATTTATCGCGTTCCCCATCCTGTCCACCACAAGCAGTCGCTGCCTCCTCTCTCTCACACACACTCTCCTCCTCCCTCTCACAAACATTCTCCTCCTCCTCCTCCAGCCGTCCAGAAAGCTGAAACTCCGGAAGCAGGATAGCCAAGGCACCGTTACAGGAACACCCGAAGCCAGAGCCATGTGACTGCGGGCAGGGGAACGGATGCAGTTCCGACTTGCTCGTCTCGCTGATGCTGTGACTGCGGCGAATGCCAGCAAGGGGAGGAGAGAGCGAGTCGTTCTCAGCGCCCTTCGTTATAAGATCGAGTTGGGAGGCGGAGGAGGTGGTTGGAGAGATGGGAGAGACAAGGTAGCCCATGCGATTGGCTGAAATGGACGGTTTGGGAAGGGAAGTCAGCCAACGCAAAGGATGGGGAAGGATAAGGCTTTGTGATGGACTGGAGAATGGAGAAGCCGAGGTTTGTTTATGAAGTGGTGAATGGACACTATGAGTTAGGGAAGAATAAAGTCTCGAGCCCTGCTAGCTTCGTCAAACGTGTAGAAGGTATATGAGGATTGTGAAAGGAGAATCAGGTTAGAAATGCAATGCATGTGAAGATCCTATCACAAATAAACACAAGTAATGGAGAAACTAACCATAGAAAAATCAAATCCCACCTCTCTGCCTTGCGCGCCAAGCTGCTCGCTTGCTCAAAAGCCACGGCTGGATGTCCCCCACCAATGACCGCCGGCCACGCGTCCGTGACAGAAACGCAAATGACTGCCAGGAGCGAAGGCAGGATCAGTGAGAAATGATAAGGCTAGGTTCTTGGCACGTTCTTTGCCCTCAAGCAGTATTAAGTATTCCACTTTATCACAACGAGAACGAAAACTACTACGCGTTTGGCTAACGAGAACGACGAGGGGATGCCATTCGCATACGGACCCTGTGCGAAAGAAGCACGGTCGACGACACGTCCTCGTGCTGCAGCGCGTCTTCTAACGCGGACGAGAACTCGGGGTCTGTCTCGTTGCCTTGCTCCGGGTCTTGCTCTTGATCAGTATCCGTCTCCCCCGGTTCTTGACCGTCGAGCTCTTCATCTTGAATGGCTTCTTGTCCTTCATTCTGACCATTCGTATCATTCATATTATTCTGATCCGTCTGATCGTTCTGATCGTTCGGATCATTCTCATTGATCCGATTATCGTGATCTCCAGGAACCGAATCTTTATCGTCCACCTCATCGGCCTCGTCGACCTGATTCGTTCTACGCTGCTCTGCACGAAGATCCGACCTCTGACCAGGTTTGACTGACGGGATGTGATAACTTGGGAACCTATTGCTGAGAGAATAAGCGTCCTGATCTTCTACGTTTTGTCTCTGATCGACAACTCCACAACTGAAGTCTAATCGCCTCTCTACCGCATCATGAATCTCATCGTGATCGTCCATTTTATGAACAGCTCAAGAAATGTAGTTCCCTGTTCGACTGTACAAACGCGTGAAAATATCACACAGAAATGTGAGAGTTAGTGTTGGAGAACCTGCGGCTGAATAACGACGTTAGTGACTTCAACAAGATGCCCAGTATAACTATGAACCTGGACTGAATTCGATTGACGGTCTTTGCGGAGCGGCACTACAACGCGGCATACACGAGAATCATCTATGGCCAGGGGGACTAGGGTCAACGGTACACCTGCTTCTAAACTCCAGAACAAGGACGCAAAGAACAATGGTGGCCCCAGACTCTGGGTGGGTCAATGACACCAATCGAGGTGAGAGAAATGGGAAAACCGCTCGACCGAACCGAAAACAGGGATCCTCCGAACCGAGAGCGACAATCTCGAGGGCGAGGGAGGGCAGAGGAAGAGGGAGAAGGCATGGAAGTGAAGTGGCGTAGCTGTGGGAACAGGGTGGGATGGGATGGATGGGGTAAAAGGTTTAATACAAGGTGGGATACGTTTGTATGAGTTTGAATATGGTGCGAGATTGGGGAGATAGATGGGAAGAGGTGGGGGGAAGTGGTGTGGTGGAGGGGCTTCCATTTGTGCCGTTTGGGGAACATCACAGAACCGCACCGCCCAAACCTTGCAAACCATACTAAGCAATTGGCGGGAAATCGAGCCGCGAAATGACTAGCTTGAAGCCTGTCAGGTATTCTTCAATACAGCTAGTTCTCTACACTCGACTTGGCTTATTTTACACCAGAACAGAAAGAGAATGGGAAAAACTTAAACACCAGAAACGGGGACCTCTACAGGGTGGACCTGAATCTGGCAGAGATGCCTCCCAAAAATCCTTGTAAGTTCCCGACTGTGGTCCATCATCCTTCAGCTTCTTTTCGTGCGCGCCATGGCTAATGGCTGCATTACATCGCTATCCAGTCCGCTTCAGCTCCGCGGACCCGTGATTGATAGAGTCAGCTCTGTACACTGCCCTATCTCGACCAGGAAAGTCAGACATATTTCCGCTACCCAGTGTTCTCTTCCCTTATCCAGTTTCCACACTAGAGTAGTTAAGGCTGGTCAGGCGAACGAAGTTAGCAACTCCGACTTGGCACATCGCGCGATCGAGGAGATTCGCGCCGTGTTTGACAGAATCGCACACGCAGCAGCATCTGATTCCGCCAATGCGGCCGGCGCGACTGACGATGCCGCGAAGGGTGACCCTTTTGAGACGCTAGTGAAGGAAATTGTTTCCGCAAAAGACGGAAAGATTGCTCTCTATGGAGTCGGACGGTAAGCCCTCGCTCACTCGGACTCCCTATATCTCCACTCTTCAATCAATTTAAAACCGCCTGTTTCTCATAGGCTCCTGTTTTTTACCACACATACATGAATGCGACAAAGGCTGGCACATTGACAAAGGTATCATTCCCAATCTTTCTTTTTTTCGCTCTCCCCCCTCCCCCTCCCTCCCTTTCCCCCCCCCACACCCACCTCTCTCTCTTTCCGCCGGAGCAGAAGGGTCTCATCATGCAAGCCCTAGCGATGCGCCTGTACCACCTAACAGAAGCTAGCACATTGTCTAAGTATCATTCTACATCTCTCACTCTGCCCACACCCGCCTCCTCCCTCTTTCCCTCCCGAACAGAGAGGGTCTCATGATGCGAGCTCTGGCCATGCGTCTGTACCACCTAGGCTTGCAGGCATCCGTCGTGGGTGACATGTCCTGCCCTCCCATTGGTCCAGGAGATCTCCTCCTTGTCAGCGCCGGCCCTGGCCGCTTTTCCACTGTAGAGGCTCTTCTGAGGGAGGCTAGATCTGCAGGGGCCAGGACTGCAGTCATCACTGCACAGCCGTCGGGCGATTGTGCCAGGCTGGCAGATCGTGTGGTCTACATTCCTGCACAGACAATGGCAGATGATCTCGTTTCTGGTGAAGGAAGGGATAGGGTTGAGATTGAGGACGACGGGGTGCTACCCATGGGGAGTGTTTATGAGGGAGTGTTATTTGTTTTGGGCGAAGTGGTAGTGCGTCTCTTGCGGGATAATCTGGGCGAAACTAAAGAGTCCATGCGTGTACGGCATACCAATTTGGAGTGAAGTTCACAACGCCTTTTCCGTCTAGGGTTTAGTATTAGAAGCCTCGATATCTCTATCACCACGGGAATGAATTTCTGGTCCCCTAATGTGCTTTGAACCATCACCCCACTTTTCACTGATTCCAGAAGCAGTATTTTACTGCGAAACACTAGTTCATGCTCAACCTCCGTCATAATCGTCTGTCGTTGCCGCTGCTTCGCGTCAAGTGGAATATTCTGCAGCGAATAAGAGCACGCGCGATTGGATACGCAGTCGATTGAAGCCGGGTGGTTGTGAGCAGGCCTCTTGATATAAGGGTGAATCACCCTTATGACCCTTACTATAAGGGTGTGTTCTGATTCGGACCCTTACTTTACAAAGTGGATTTTTTTCTGACACTTACAGGAAAAAGTGAATATGTTTAGGACCCTGATATTTCATAGTGAAGTGGTATAGTCGCACTGATCGGGAACATACATCTTCCTCAAAAAGTAGGGAATAGCTCTTGGAACAAAGTCCCATGGATAACATTGCCCACCATATGCCTCCCACAAGTATCGATCCCATGTCCCTTTCACCACAAGACCCACTGTGCTACATTGTCACGCCTAAGACCTACTAGTTATTTGTGATACAAAGTTCTAGTTCGGTTTAAACCCTTACAAAAAAGAGTGGTGCTTGCCTGGTACCCTTACAAAAAGTGTGAAAGCAGCTGGTCACCCTTATGAGAAAGACTGCATCAAATCCTATCCAGAGGCCTGGTTGTGAGCCCACGCTAACCCACGAAAAGCTACCGGGGAGCCGACTGGGCTTTCAAGGGAACGCACTTGCAGCTGATCATAAGACAAAAGCAAAGTTACGACTTTTCTGCCGATCGCGGTTAAGTGATGATTTGAATTCTCCTAGCCTTCTAGCTTGCGAAGTCGTTGTCATTGAGCCGGATTCAGCCTGTCAGCACCAGCACCCATTCTCAATTCGTGAATTCGTGAATCTTTGTCTCCACATAGCGGACAGAGCAACACCAGCTGCCATGTTAGCACCAGTAACCACCCCAACGGCAGCAGCAGCAGCACCGTCAGCAGATGATTCACCACAAACAGCAGCGCCAGCAGCAGCAGCAACAGATGAACCATCAGCAACAGCCACACCTACCACCCCAGCATGTCCCAGTACATTTGAGAAGTCTCAGAAATCCATTCCGTCAGCCACACCAGCACTGTCAGTAGATGATTCACCACGGACAGAAGCACCATCAGCAAGGGCAGCAGATGAGCCATCAGCAGCAGCCACACCTACCACCCCTGCATGTCCCAGTACATTTGAGACGTCTCAGAAATCCATTCCGCCAGCCACACCAGCACTGTCAGTAGATGATTCACCACGGACAGAACCGCCATCAGCAGCAGCAACAGCCACCCCTACCACCCCAGCATGTCCCAGTACATTTGAGACGTCTCAGAAATCCATTCCGTCAGCCACACCCGCACTGTCAGCAGACGATTCACCACAAACAGCAGCGCCATCAGCAGCAGCAACAGATGAACCATCAGCAGCAGCCACACCTACCACCCCTGCATGTCCCAGTACATTTGAGACATCTCAGAAATCCATTCCGTCAGCCACACCAGCACTGTCAGTAGATGATTCACCACGGACAGAAGCACCATCAGCAAGGGCAGCAGATGAACCATCAGCAGCAGCCACACCTACCACCCCTGCATGTCCCAGTACATTTGAGACGTCTCAGAAATCCATTCCGTCAGCCACACCAGCACTGTCAGTAGATGATTCACCACGGACAGAAGCACCATCAGCAAGGGCAGCAGATGAACCATCAGCAGCAGCCACACCTACCACCCCTGCATGTCCCAGTACATTTGAGACGTCTCAGAAATCCATTCCGCCAGCCACACCAGCACTGTCAGTAGATGATTCACCACGGACAGAACCGCCATCAGCAGCAGCAACAGATGAACCATCAGCGGCAGCCAAACCTACCACCCCGGCATGTCCCAGTGTCGGTCCTTTCCATGCCTATTCTCTTCGTTCTTCTCCTCCACCTCGAGTTCCGTTAGAGGAGATGCTTATAACGGGGCGTGCAGCACAGAGTGTTTTTCTGGGTTCATGTTGCTGACGTCGCCTGCCATTGGACCGCTGGATGCTGACGTGGCACACATGGAAGTCCCCCTTTGCTCCAAGTATTTTAGCAATCGCGCTCCTCCTAGAGATGCCGCTCATGCCCCTGCTACAGAAGTTGCGCCTGCTGCTACAGCTTCGGAACCTGCTGGCAGCACCTCTCCTGGGGTTCCCCAACCCCCCTCAGTTGCTTCGGGATCGGTCCGCCTCTCCCCTCTTGGAGCCCTCGCTCTCTCGCCTCAACGGGTCAGTCGCGCTCAGACCAGGCAGGTGCTTCAGGTGCTTCAGGTCGTTCAGTTGACTAAGACGCTTCAGTTCGGGTGATTCAGATGGTTCAGGTGATTCAGATGGTTCTTCAGATGGTTGAGGCTATTCAGATGGTTCCGGTGATTCAGAACGTTCAGGTGATTCAGAACGTTCAGGTGATTCAGAACGTTCAGGTGATTCAGATGGTTCATGTGATTCAAATGGTTCAGGTGATTGAGATGGCTCATGTGATTCAGATGGTTCAGGTGATTCAGGCGGTTCAGGCGATTCAGGTGGTTCAGCAGGTTCAGCTCATGCATGCAGGTGTCAGAGTGCGTCAGGTGCTCACGCAGGCGTTGGAACACGTCAGCTCCACACCCATATGCATGCACCCCTCATTCTCCCCATTCTCCCCATTCTTCCCATTCTCTGCCTTCTCCCCAGACTCCCCCGTCTCCCCCTTCTTCCCCCCCTCCCCCTTCCCCCCTGCCTCCCGCGTTTTCTCGAATGATCTTCAGCTGGCCAGCGCCATGTGCTACCACATGCGTCTGTTCGGCATGACGTTGGATCGACAAGATCTCATGGACCATGCTCCCATCCTCGCCCAAGCTGCTGCTGCTGCTGCTGCTGCTGCTACTGAAACTGCTGCTGCCACTGCTGGTTCAGCAGCAGCTGTCATTACGACCGACGCTGTTGATGCCGCTGCTGCTGGTGAGCACACGCCCATCACCGCTGTGCGCCCCTTTGGAGCCTTCTGGACCGCATCCCACTACTGTCTCGTGCTACCATGCTTGGTCGAAGGAGGAAAGGAAGGAAGGGAGGGAGAAAGCGAAAGAGGAGGAGGAGAAAGAGGGACAGCAGCAGACTGGCGAGGGGCAGCTGAGGGAGGGGAGGAAGGGAGCGGGGCGAATGCAGGCAGGGAAGGCGAAGGGGTGGATGCAGGGGATCGTGGGGGAGGGGATGATGGCATGGGCAGGGGAGGGGATGATGATGATATGATGCGCGTGTTGTTGGGGAGGATTGGCTGGGAGACGGTGGATAGGGTGGTGTCTCTGGGAGGCCGTAGTGCCGCTTCTCATGGCTGTGCACGTGATGCTCCTGGTGCTGCTGCTGCTGCTGCTGATGGTATTGGTGCTAATGCTGTTGCTGTTGATACCAGTGCTGTTGCTGCTGTTGATACCAATGCTGTTGGTGTTGTTGATACCAATGCTGTTGCTGCTGCTGATACCAATGCTGCTGCTGCCACTGATACCAAGGCTGCTACTGCTGCTGATACCAATGCTGTTGCTGCTGATGGTGACAGTGGTGGTGGTGGTGCCAGCACGCCCCTGCTCATGACAGCTCGCGGGCCTGTGGAGTTGCATGACCTGCGTGGCATGGCAGCATACGCGGATGCTGCTGTTCCAAACAACGCCCCTGTTACTGCTGCGACCACACCCCTGCTTATGCCTGCTCGTGCCACTGCCAGCACGCCCCTGCTCATGACAGCTCGCGGGCCTGTGGAGTTGCATGACCTGCGTGGCATGGCAGCATACGCGGATGCTGCTGTTCCAAACAACGCCCCTGTTACTGCTGCGACCACACCCCTGCTTATGCCTGCTCGTGCCACTGCCAGCACGCCCCTGCTCATGACAGCTCGCGGGCCTGTGCAGGAGCATGACCTGCACGGCATGGCAGCATACGCGGTGCATTCGCATCTGCTGTACCAGCTGGTGGGGAGGGACCCTGAAGGGAGAACAGCACGGAGTGAGTTCAAGGGGCTGCATATAGGCACGTTCCAACAGCACTTGCAGAACCAGTGAGTAACTGCATGGCATGGCAGCATATGCGGTGCATTCCCATCTGCTGTACCAGCTGCTGCTGCTCTGCTGCACACACCGTCCACACTGCCCAACCCCTACTGCACGATCACACCCTTAAACCTTACACCCCTACCCCTACCCCCAATAAACCCCACACCCCTACCCCCCTCTGCCAGGTATGGCATATCGCTGCATTACCCCGACCAACGTCTGTTTGCTGCTTGCGCCCCAGCTGAAGCCAGAGCCGCACAATGCACTGCTGCTGCTGCTGCTCTGGTCATTGCCAAACCCTTTTACCCCTACCCACATGCACTGCACTCCTAACCCTGATACGACTAACCCCCCTCACCAGGTACAACATATTGCTGCAGCACCCCGACCAGCCTCTGTTTGCTGTGTGCCAGTTGAAGCCAGAGCTGCGCAACTCACTGCTGCTGCTGCAGGCACTCCCATACCCTTACATCCCTATCCTTATGCACCCCTACCCCTACACACCCCTATCCCGCCATGCCAGGTACAACATATTGCTGCAGCACCCTGACCAGCCTCTGTTTGCTGTGTGCCAGTTGAAGCCAGAGCTGCACAACGCACTGCTGCTGCGGCAGGCACCAAAATGTAAGTGACTCTGTGTGTGTGCATGCATGCGTGCGTGCGTGTGCGCGTGCTTGTGTGTGCATTGATCCTCTCTCCATGGTCCCTCCTCTCTCCATGGTCCCTACATGTGTATCAATGTGTGAGCCAGCCCGTTTGTCTGTGCTTGTGTGTGCCGGCAGGTCCCCCTTGCACCACCCTCCCTCCCTCCTCTCCCTTCCATCACCGCCTTGCATCGCCCCCATGACATCACCCGTCCCTCAGTGAACACTTGGGATCCCGCCAACAGGGCGATCCAATCAGCTTTACATCATGTCCTGAGGAGAAATCTCACCCCCCATCACCCCATTACATCACCCCTCTCGCAGTGGATCCTTGAGAATTTCTCAATCGGGCTGTTTAATCAAGTGGTTTGACGAGTTTAGAGGCGCAATTTGAGGGCCCCTTCCCCGCCCTCTCTCCACCCACCCCTCTCGCAGTGGACCCTTGGGATCTAATCAACAGGGCCGTCCATTCAGCTCTAAAATATTTCCTGAGAATAAATTCTCCCTATGCCCCCCCTCCCCCCATCGCCCCTATTACATCGCCCCTCTCGTGGGCAGTGGACCCTTGGGATCTTCTCAACAGGGCGCTCCAAGTCGGTCCATTCAGCTTTACAACTCATCCTGCGAAGAAATTCACCCCGCCCATCGCCCCCATTACATCACCCCTCTTGAAGTGGACCCTTGGGATCTTTACAACAGGGCTGTCCAAGTGAGGCGAGACGAGCAGACGCCTGTACCTGCCAGTGCTACAGTGGGGATGGCTGTAGCAGACACGGCTGTAGCTGACAAGGCTGTAGCTGATACAGTTGCAGCTGACACGGCTGAAGCAGAGACGGGTGCAGCAGAGAAGGGTGTAGAAGAGAGGGCTGTAGCAGAGAAGGTTGAATCAGAGAAGGCTGCAGCAGTGAAGGCTTTACCAGAGCAGGCTGTAGCAGTCAATGTTGCAGCTGACAGGGCTGTGGCAGACAATGCTGTAGCAGACACGGCAACAGCAGGGAGGGAGCAGCAGAAGCAGGCAGAGCAGCAGCAAAGCACAGGGCAGGAAAATGCAGCTAAGGGGGAGCAGCAGCAGGGCAGGGAGAAGGACAGGGGGGGACAAACATCATATCTCCCTCGGGAGATATCGTACCTCCCATTGGAGCTACTGGTACCGGTGTTTCCGATGCAGCACGTGCTCTTTGCCTCGCTGCTCCCCTCGCTGTTCTACCACCTTGACTGCCTGCTCACTGACCGGGATATCTGGCGATTCATTGTGAGGCAGTATGGGTGTGAGCATCAAGGGACTTGTGAGGCAACTTGCAGGGCAAAGGGCAAGGGTGTTCACAAGAGGAAAGGCAAGGCGAATTGCGAGAGCTGCAACACTCGTGGTGGGGAGAGGTGTGGTAGGTGTGGCAGGTGTGGCAGGTGTGGCAGCACTGGTGGTGGTGGGTACAGCAGGGAATTGCAGCCGCACTGGTGCTTCAAGAACCGCATGTTCCTGCTATTACTGTGAGTCACGCCTCTGCCTGCACTGCACTGCACTGCACTGCAATGTACCGCACTGAACCAACACTGTACCGCACTGCAATTTACTACACCACACTGCACCATAGAGAGCGGCATGGGCACGTACGAATCAGACGAGATTAATCCCTCCCCCCTTCCCTCCCTCCCTCCCTCCCTCCCTCCCTCCCTCCCTCCCTCCCTCCCTCCCTCCCTCCCTCCCTCCCTCCCTCCCTCCCACCCTCCCTCCCTCCCTCCCTCCCTCCCTCCCTCACTCCCTCCCTCCCTCCCTCCCTCCCTCCCTCCCTCTCTCCCTCCCTCCCTCCCTCCCTCCCTCCCTCCCTCCCTCCCTCCCTCCCTCCCTCCCTCCCTCCCTCCCACCCTCCCTCCTTCCCTCCCTCCCTCCCTCACTCCCTCCCTCCCTCCCTCCCTCCCTCCCTCCCTCTCTCCCTCCCTCCCTCCCTCCCTCCCTCCCTCCCTCCCTCCCTCCCTCCCTCCCTCCCTCCCTCCCTCCCTCCCTCCCTCTCACCCTCCCTCACTTCCTTCCCTGCACCCCTCAGCTACTGCGTGCCCTGGGATGCCCCGGCGTCGGCACCTACGAGAATGCATCAATGCCTCTCAACTCAACCACCCCTTTCCACCCACCAACATCCCTCCCTCTTCCATTCCCCCTCTCAGCTCCTGCGCGCCCTGGAATGCCCTGGCGTGGGCACCTACGAGAATGACGAGATTCTCGGTGACAGCTGTGTGCAGCTCGCCACATCCTGCCACCTGTTCTCCACTCTGCTGCCACGTCAGCAGCAGGATAATGGGCGTGGGCGTGGGCATAAGCAGAGGCATGGGCATGGGAACAAGAATACGCTGGGCGTGGGCGTGGGCGTAAGCAACGGCTCAGCATACGCTGAGAGCATTGCCGCGATGCAATCACATGCGCCACACAGCGAGTCGTCCCTGCCACCAGTCTCCAAGAGACGGCCAGCTGGGCCGTCATACGTTCACTTGAGACGGCACTGCGTGAAGCTGGTGTCAAACAAGCACCTGGCAGCGCGGGCAGTTAAAGCCGGAGTGCCCGCCCTCGTTCGCTGCAAGCCCTTCACACCCACGGATTGGATCGGCCCCCTAGTCCCTCCCACGCACGCTGTGCTGCTTCTGGCTGACTCCCTCTCTCACTCGCTCCTCCAACCACACTCCCCCTCACACTCTCGAGCTACCGCATCTTCCCAGAACCCTTCTCCTAGCCCCAAAGCCCTTCTGGACTCCGCCTTTGCCTCGTTGGCAGTGGCACAGCCAGCAGCCAAGTCAGCGAGCCGTTCAACCAAAAAAAGGCTGGCTGACGTGGCAGAGGCCTTGGTGGGCGCCAGCTGGCGGTGCGGCGGCGCTGACATGGCGCTGCCGGTGCTGAGGTGGCTGGGCCTGCCTACGAAGGGCGTGGGGGAACTGTTGAGGGGAGAGACGGGGTGGAGGGGGAGAGAGGCGGAGGGGGTGGCAAAGAGAGGGGTGGTGGGCGTTGCAGCAAACCCAGATATGGCGCTGGACGTGCCATCAGAGGGTGTGGGAGAGCTGCTGAGGGGAGAGATGGGGTGGAGGGGGAGAGAGGTGCTGAGGGGAGAGATGGGGTGGAGGGGGAGAGAGGTGCTGAGGGGAGAGATGGGAGCACGAGAGATGGGAGCACGAGAGATGGGAGCACGAGATGAGAGAATTGGAGCAAAGGGTGAGTGGCAACAAGCACGCATGGGAGCAAACTAAACAGCCTTTTGAGCTATTACTTGAGCCGCCAGAGAAGCTGCCTAAGCTGCTTGAAGGGGAATGCGTGCAGCACCAGGATGGGCTGACTTTTGAGTCGACTGAAAAGCAAACTAGACATCCGTTCGAGCTGCCACTTCAGCCACCAGAAAAGCGGCATAAGCTGCTTGAAGGGGAATGCGTGCAGCACCAGGATGGGCTGACTTTTGAGTCGACTGAAAAGCAAACTAGACATCCGTTCGAGCTGCCACTTCAGCCACCAGAAAAGCGGCATAAGCTGCTTGAAGGGGAATGCGTGCAGCACCAGGATGGGCAGCAGGAGGAACAGCAGCAGGTGCAGGGTGTGCAGGTTATAGAATGCTTGCAGCAGCAGCAGCAGCAGCTGACTTTGCCCAGCTTCCCAGAACCTTCCACCGCCAGAACGAACCCCAGGTGCCACGTGGCAGCAGCTGGCTGGCTGCTGGAGCTTCAGAATGCGATGGGGTATCGATTCAGAAATGAGGGGATACTGAAAGTGGCGATTCGGGAGGAGGGGTTGAAGTGGCAGAGACGGTTTGTGTTCCTGGGGGAAGCTGTGCTGGACTTTCTTCTCATGCACCACATGGTGCAAGCAACATCTGTGACGGCCCATTCTCCTGCCGCCACGTCACCACATGCCACGTCATTGCACGCTGCCATGCCTTCGCACGTTGCCACGTCAGCGCACGCCACCCGGCCGTCCCCGCACCAGCTAACGAACCTGCGCATGGTTGTGAACAACATGAAGCGGTTTTGCCAGCTGGCGGCGTGCCGTGGGCTGCTGCGATTGGTGCGCAAGATACAGCGGGCGGCGAAGGCTGCTGCTGCCGATGCAGCTGAGTTGGCACATGTGGCTGCTTGGGAATCGGGAAGGGAGGAGGAGGGGAAGGAGAAGGAGAAGGATGGGGAGGAGGAGGGGAAGGAGAAGGAGAAGGATGGGGAGGAGGACGGGAAGGAGGAAGTGAATTTCAGTAGAGAAGGCAGGGTTGGATCACAGAGGATGTTACAGCAGGCTGTAATCAAGAGAGGGGAGGCCGTGGGGAGAGGGGAGGACGTGGGGAGAGGGGAGGACGTGGGGAGAGGGGAGGACGTGGGGAGAGGGCAAATGGGCAATGGTGATGACATTGATGATGAACAGAAGCCGTTCCGCAAGGTAACGCCGTGTAACCATATGAGCAAGCAGGTAATTATGTAACCCTATAGATGGTACTGACGTACTGTCTGTTTGCCTGTACCACTTACTTTCTATCCACATTGGTACAACCTTTGAATGCCTCGCCTTTCTTTCTACTCGGGGCTGCCCAATTCGTCTTGCGCCCCTCTTGCGTCCCTTTTGCGTCCCTCTTGCCCAATCCCAATCTTGTTTTATGCACTGCAAAGATCTGAACGGCTAGGCCTACCCACATACATACATACATACACACACACACACACACATACACACACACACACACACACACACACACACACACACACACACACACGCACGCACGCACGCACGCACGCACACAACATCCATGCATGCATTCATGCATTCATACATACATACGTACATGTACATACATACATACACACACACACACACATACACACACACACACACACACACACACACACACACACACACGCACGCACGCACGCACGCACGCACACAACATCCATGCATGCATTCATGCATTCATACATACATACGTACATACATACATACATACATACATACATACATACATACATACATACATACATACATACATACATACATACATACATACATACATACATACATACATACATACATACATACATACATACATACATACATACATACATACGTACGTACATACGTACGTACATACATACATACATACATACATACATACATACATACATACATACATACATACATACATACATACATACATACATACATACATACATACATACATACATACATACATACATACATACATACATACATACGTACGTACGTACGTACATACGTACGTACGTACGGACGGACGGACGGACGGACGGACGGACGGACGGAAGGACGCACGCACGCACACACACAACATCCATGCATGCATTCATGCATTCATACATACATACGTACGTACATACATACGTACGTACATACATACATACATACATACATACATACATACATACATACATACATACATACATACATACATACATACATACATACATACATACATACATACATACATACATACATACATACATACATACATACATACATACATACATACATACATACATACATACATACATACATACATACATACATACATATATACAATCTCTTGCGTCTCAGCATTCTTGACGCGCTGCAAATCTTAAAACGGCTAGGCGTACCCACACACATACATGCATTCCTCTTGCCTTTTCAGTCGACTCTAATAAAGTCATGCCATTACCCACATACATTCCTCTTCCTTCGCCATGCTGCAACACTGTTGACAATTCCCCTCCTCCCTCCCCTCCTTTCTTCCCTCCTCCCTCCCCTCTCTTCTTCCTATCTCTCTCCCCTCCTCACTTGATCTCCTACCAGGAGGTTCCTGATCTTATATAGGCCCTCATTGCAGCAGTCTTCCTCGACTCCACTCCTCCAAACACCCCTTGGACTGCATTCAACCCCCTTGCACATCTCCATCTCTCATGCCCTCTCGCCCGCACGTGGCAAGTGGTTTCTTCATGGCTCTCCCCAATCCCTCTGTTGCTTCCCCTCTCCCTCCATCCCCCCTCCGCCCTGCTCCTCTTCTGCGGCGCCCTCGCCCTCCCCCCCCCTATTTACTTGCCGTGGGGGGAGAGTGGGGGGCGGGAGCAAGGATAAAAAATACGACCGAAATATTGATTTTAGGGCCGTATTATACGGTATCGTATTATACGTTCGTTTAAAACAGTTTAGTACGGTTAAATGTTATTTTAAAATTTCGATTAAAAATACGATCGTTTTTTTCGACCGAATTTTTAGAACGGAGAAAGTGTACACCGAATTTCAACAATCAGCCCCGTCGAGTTCGTTTTGGGGGATTTCGTGAGAAGTCTTGTCAGTCTCGCCCGAATTTGGCCCGAGTCGCGCATGTCAGGAAAATGGCGTGGCGAGACATTTTGACATCTGACGAACGGTATAAAATCGCTTACCCATTTCGCTGAGTGGTTTGAGTAGTTCGCCGAATCGCGACGACACCAAATTTCCGAGGTGCGGAAATGTACACCATTGGCGAACCCCTTCAACCTTGGTACCCGTTTCGTGGAGTCGTTAGCACAACTCGCGCGCTGGGTTTATTTTTCGCCCCCAATCCTGACGCCTCGCACAATTGCGCGCGACACAATTCCAGCCAATAGTAATACGCTAATCCATCTCCCATCTCACGTCATCCATTCTTCAAACACCCCTCGACAAAGCAGCACAAAGAGATACATATTGGAGGAGGAAAATCCCATTCGACACATCCTCTCTTTGGTTGCCGTATCTCAGAACAACAATCTCCGACCCACGCTTTCTCAGCATAGTCTAGTGGAACGCCATGGTGCGCCCTGCTTCTCAGTTTTGGGAGCACGTCATTAAGATTAAGGATGAGGAAGGCAACATAGTCGGTGCTACTTGCATTCATTGCAAGAATCCTGTGACGGCTAATGCGACTACGATAGGCAAGCACATGTTCGGCACTAACAAGAGGGACAAGAACGTTGCGATGTGCAAGTCGGACTACGCTAAGCAGCTGCGGGCGACAGCCGATCAGGAGCGCTCGACCACGGAAAATGCTACGGGAGGATCAACCCGTGCCTCCACGTCCTCGGTGGAGGCGCCGCCCGTGCGGCGCTTCCGGCAGCGAGATATCCGTGATATGACGGACCAAGTTGCGCATAATCGCCTGGATTACCTGTGGGCTGCTGCAGTTGCCGAGAACGACCTCGCCTTCAACGCCAGCAAGTCGAAATCGATCCACGCGTTCGTTGACGCGGTGATCATGTACGCGAAACCGTACACCCTCCCAACCCCGTACAAGGTATCCGGCCCATTGCTGGACAAGCTGAAGGCGGACTCCGAGGACCTGCTGCGGCCGCTGAAGGAGAGCTGGAAGACCAGCGGGTGCTCGCTCTCCGTCGATGGATGGACGGACATCAAATCCCGCGTATTTGTGTGTGTCATCTCGCAAAATGACACCGCACCCGTCATCGTCGACATCGTTGACTCGAAGACCGCCAAAAAAATCGGGGACTACTTGGCAACGCTTATTCAGGGAGCGATCACCACTGTGGGGCCGAAGCATGTCGTCCAAGTCGTGATGGATAACGCTTCGAACAACAAAAACGCCGCCAGCAAGCTGAGCGCGGATTATCCCCATATCTTCTTCACCAACTGCGCCGCCCACTGCCTCGACCTCATGCTGCACGACATCGGCAAGATCCCTGCCGTGGAACTCGTCCTTTCCCAAGTGCATCAGGTCGTGATGATGATCAAAGGCCCCGCCTCGTGTCAGAATGTTATCTTATGCTTTAGCATGTAGTGGGGTGCTCTATAGCGAGTACAACCCTTCTAGGGTTTGCTATTTGTATCCCCATTCTTGCTAGTGCAATCCCCTTCTCTCTTCTAAATTTTAACATGCTATCAGAGCAGGTCGATCCTCTTGGATCGATCCTGTGGGTGGGCTCACCACCTCGTTGCTTCCGCTGCAACTGCTACTGCTACTCTCTGTGCCGCACGCCCCGTGGCGTGCGGCAGTTTTTCTTCCCGCCGTGCGCCCCGAGGCGCGCGGCGGTTTTCTGCCCGCCGTTCGCCCCGAGGCGCGCGGCGGTTCTCGGCCCGCTGTGCGCCCCGAGGCGCGCGGCGGGCTTCTGCCCCGTCACTCGGCGCGTCGCCCTCGGGAGGCGCTGCTACGGGCGACGGGGACCCGCACGTCGGCCCCGTCGCCGCCCGCATCGGCCCCGTCGCCACCCGCAGCAGGCCCATTGCCGCCCGCAGCGACCCCGTCGCCGCGCGCAGCGGCCCCGTCACCGCCCGCAGCGACCCCGTCCCCGCCCGCATCGGCCGCGCCGTCGCCGCGCGCAGCGGCCCCATCGCCGCCCGCAGCGACCCCGTCGCCGCCCTTGCACGGCCCCGGCCCCGCCCCGGCCATTTCGCGTCGCCCGTCGCGGCTCCCTCGGGGGCCGCGACCTGGGGGAGGGGGGCGGGCGCCGCCCCTTCTGCCGCCTGTTGTGGCGCCCTGGGAGGCTGCGCATCGGTCCCCCCCCCCCCCCCCGTAACCTCCCTACCCGCCATCCTGCCCTGCCCTGTGTTAGGGTTTGGGGAGTGGCGAGTAGGGGGTGGCGGGTGTGTGGTCTCCCCTGCTCCTCCTCCTCTGTCTCCCACTGCTGCAGCTGCCGCTGAGGGGGGTGGGTGTGTGGGAGTCGACGGAGTCGTGCTAGGGGGTGGGGTGTGAGTGACCCTAGCGGTGTAGCAGCGGGTGTGTGCCAGGGGGAGTGGGATAGTTTGGGGAAGCTGAATGGAGGTTGCCGTCGTGTCGCCAGCAGCACCTGTATTCCGGGGACTTCGTCCGGTAGCCCAGTCGTAGCCAGCTGTGCAAGCCGCCCGTGGGTCTGTTGGTCGTCTGCCGCTACTTTAGCCGCGGGGCCAGTTACTCCAGTATTCCGGAGCGTTGTTCCGGTAGCCGCTGTGCCAGTGTGCCTCCTGTTGCCCGTGTGTCTGCAGCTTCAGACCTTGCCTCCTATCTCCTCTCCTCTCTCTCTCTCTCTCCTCCTCCTCACTTGCCCGTTGTGACTACCACTAGCTTTGCTCATAATTGTTAACTTTAAACTATTGCTTCTTGAACTTGTGCTCAGAATGTGTGGTGACATTGTGATCCACCCTGAGCTTGTACTGCTTTGCTTGCTCTGCTGATTACACCCCACTTTGGCTATGGGGGTGTGTCAGAATGTTATCTTATGCTTTAGCCTGTAGTGGGGTGCTCTATAGCGAGTACAACCCTTCTAGGGTTTGCTATTTGTATCCCCATTCTTTCTAGTGCAATCCCCTTCTCTCGTCAAAATTTTCACACCTCGGCCGTGGTCTTGTTCCATGAGCTTTTTACCAAGCTCTCGTTGGTGCGGCCTGGTGCAACGAGATTTGGCACCCAGGTCATCATGCTCGGCAGGTTCCTTGAGGTGAAGCGCGCGTTGAGGGCGATGGTAATCAACGAGCAATGGGAGGATGTAGCAGTGGCACGGACGGAGGAGGGGATGGAGGTTAGGAAGCTGCTTTTGGACGACGTTTTTTGGGACTGTGGGACGGCCGTGCACCGCCTCATGACTCCCATCTACGAGGTTCTCCGCGCCGTCGACACACGGGCTCAAGTCATGGGGCAGCTGTACGGCCTCATGCTTGAAGCCACGGTGAAGACTAATGCGGCGGCTGAGACGGCTGGTGAGTGAGACGGCTGAAAGTTTTACGCGATGGGTATTGATTGTTAATCTCTCCTCCCACCCGCTCATGCTTCCTATCTAATTAGTGCTCTTTATTCACTATAAGCAGCCGCACACTTCATCAAGCGGACGGGTCTGCTGTTGCCGAAGGACAAGAGCACTTTCCTCACCTCCATCAAGGCGATCATTGCCAGGAGGTGGGACGCACGACTGCACAACCCCCTGCATGCCATCGGTTGGCTCCTCAGCCCCCGTAACCTGTACATTGGGGAGGTAAGGAATGACAAGGAGATTAGGAAGGGGGTGGATGAGGTAATCCAGGCCCGGGGCGGAGATGTGCAGCAGCGCATAACGCTAGCTGCACAGGTGGCTCAGTTTCACCGAGGGGAGGGCAGGTTGGGCTCTGACGATGCCCGTTGGGCAGCAACTACCTTGGTGGAGGCGGGGCGCATGACGGAGGCGGAATGGTGGTTCCTGTTTGGTGGGGAGGTGCAGGCGCTCCAAGACCTGGCTGTGACGTCTTTGTCACAGCCAGTCACCTCCGAAGTGGAGAGGTACTGGTCGGCGCTAGCACGTGTGCAGAGGCGCGACCGGAACCGCCTCACGGCGAAGAAGATGATTGACGTCACCTTCGTCGCCTTCACCCGGCGGGCCCGTGATGCCTTTGATCGAAAGGCAGCCCTGCGTTCCAAGCTCTATCAGGACCTGGGCAACGGCACCCTCAGGGAAGGGGCTGCCATCATCCCGGCCGAAGTGGAGGTGGAGGAAGGGGATGCGGAGGAGGAGGCACCCGTGGAGGAGGAATGCACCATTGATTGGTCGGAATTTGGGAGCATCGGCAAGAAGAGGAAAGGGAAGGCGGGTAAGTCATCTAAAGGGAAGAAGAGGGGGAAGGGCAACGGTGCATGCAAGGGAAAGGGGAAAGGAAAAGCAGGGGATGCAGAGGAGGAAGAGGAGGCGGAAGAGAGCGGTGGGGAGGAGGAAGAACCTGCCCTGAATCCCAAGGGGCGATATGCCTGGGATTGCAGCGACGGTTCAAGTGGGGAGGAGGAGGAGGAGGAGGAGGAAGAGGATGACGAGGAGTATGACGGTTAGAGTGGGGAGGGAGGAGGAAGAGGATGACGAGG